CTGTTTTGATGTGTTTCCAGGATTTGTTTCAAGGTTTAGGGCTCCTTTTAGCAGCTCTTGAAGTGGTGGTTTGGTAATAGCAAATTCTCTCAGCATGTGTTTGTCTGAAAACAACTGTATCTTTCCTTCATAGATGATGCTTAGCTTCACGCTTCACTGGATACAAAATTCTTAGCTTATAAAATGTTTTGTTTGAAGAGGCTGAAGATAGTTCTCCATCCCTTCTAGCTTGTAGGGTTTCTGCTGAGAAATCTGCTGTTAATCTGATAGGTTTTTTCTTTACAGGTTACCTTGTGCTTCTGTCTCACAGCTCTTAAGATTCTTTCCTCGGTCTTAACTTTGGATAAACTGATACCAATGTGCCTAGGGGGAGATCTTTTTGTGGTGAATTTCCCAGATGTTCTTTGTGCCTCTTGTATTTGGCTATCTAGTATCTCACAAGGCTGGAGGTGTTTTCTTCTATTATTCCCCCAAATACGTTTTCCAAGCTTTTAAAATTGTTTTCGTACTCAGGAATACCAATTTTTCTTAGGTTTGATTGTTTAACATAATCCCAGATTTCTTGGAGATTTTGTTCATATTATCTTATTCATTTTTCTTTGTCTTTGTTGGATTGGGTAAATCTGAAGACCTTGTCTTTGAGCTCTGAAGTTCTTTCTTCTATGTGTTTGATTTTATTGCTGAGATTTTCCAGAGCATTTCACATTTCTAAAAGTATGTCCAAAGTTTCCTCAAATTTTTATTGTTTTTTTCTTTAAGCTGTCTATTTCCATGCTCTCTTCACTTCTTACATCATTTCTTTATTTCCTTGCATTGGGTTTCGACTTCTTCTGGTCCCTTCCTGATAAGCTTAATAACTAACTTGCTGGATTATTTTCCAAGTAAATCAGGGATTTCTTGAGTTTGGATCCATTGCTGGTGAACTATTGTGATTTTGTTGGGTGGGGGGGGGGGTGTTGAAGAGCGTTGTTTTGTCATATTAACCAGGGTTGGTTTTCTGGTTCCTTCTCATTTGAGTAGGCTCTGTCTAGGGCTGAAGGCGGTTGTTCAGATTCCTTTGTCCCACAGGATGTTTCTTTGACATAGTACTCTCCCCTTTTTCCTATAGATGTGGCTTCCTACGAGCTGAACTATAGTGATTGTTTTCTCCCTCCTGGGTCTAACCACTGAGCGAGTCCACCCAGCTCCAGGCTGGCACTGGGGGTTGTCTGCACAGAGTTCTGTGATGTGAACTGTCTATAGGTTTCTCAGCCATGGATACCAGTGCTTGTTCCAGTGGAAGTGGTGGATAGTGCAATGGACTCCACGAGGGTCCTTAGTTTTGGTGGTTTAATGCTTTGTTTTTGTGCTAGTTGGCCTCCTGCCAGGAGGTGGCACCTCCCAGAAAGCATCAGCAGTAGTGGTGTATGGAGGAACCAGTGGTGGATAGGGCCCTAAACCCCCAAGATTATATGTCCTTTGTCTTATGCTACCAAGGTGGATAAGGAAGGCCCATCAGGCTGGGGTAGGGCTAGGACATATCTGAGCTCAGACTCTCCTTGGGCAGATCTTGCTGAGGCTGTTGTGGAGGATGGGGGCAAGCTTCCCAGGTCACTGGAGTTGTATACCTCAAAGGATTATGGCTGTCTCTGCTGAGCCATGCAGGTTGTCAGGGAAATGGGGGAAAACCAGCAGTCACAAGCCTCACCCAGCTCCCATGCAACCTGAAGGGCCTGTCCCACTCCCACCGTGTCCCTCCCCCAATAGCCCTGAGTCTGTTTCCAGGCGGAGGGCAAGATGGGCTTGAAAACTTGCCTGAGGCTATCCTCCTCCCAGCCGCAAGAGAAAAGGGCTTTAGTTCTTCCCCTGTCTGTTGTTAGATACAATGAACCCCAAATTTCTCTTCAAAGAATCAGTATGTCAATATATTCAGCTCTCTTATTCTTTAATTCTCCGTTTTAAAGTTTAACTTCCTTGTAGTTTCAGTAAACAACCTTTTCTACCAGTTCTAATCAGTAGTTCACATCTGTTCCCCCAGTTCTCTGCCCGACTCTGACTCATCCTGGTCACCTGTGCTGGTCACCTGCTTTAATCCCTGGTTACCTGCTCTGACCTGCCCAGAATGATCCTTCCTGCCAAACTACCCACCCCACCACTGCCAGTCCAGCTCATACCCCTACTCCCTTTAAAATAGCCAATTGGAATTAGACTAGACTGTGCAGTCTAACCCTAGCCAATAGGGGAACAACACAGCAGTAGGGGCCATCAAACATAAATACCCCTTCCCCTCCCTTGTCCATTGTTCCATGTGTGAGCTGCACCCTTCTATAGAAGTAAATTGCCTTGCTGAGGAAATTTGCATTCCAGTGCTACTTCTTTTGCAAGACCAAAAATTTATATATAACAATGTGAAGTCTGCATGCCCAATTTGCACCCTCCTCTGAGTTCTGGCCAGGAGGCTTCTCGCTCCATTCAAATTGTCACAAAGTTCAGCTAGAGAATCCCTTCCTCCTGTGGAGTTTTACCCCCTGCCCCTCTGGCCACCCTCTCAATGGATCCCTGTGGTGCCAGGCAGGAATAGGCTGCTTGGGGAACCAGTGAGCTCCCAGGGCCTTTCTGCTGCTTCCTCTGCCCCTAGATTTTGCTCGCCTCTCTAACTTGACTCAGCTCCAGGTAAAATCGGAAACTTCTCCTGCAAACACCCCTTCAGCTTCTCCAGTGGGGCTGTGCATTCAGGATAGGAAGGTCTCCTTTTCCCACTTCCACAGTTGGGGCACTCACAGTATTTGGGGTGTCTTCCCTGTCCTGCAGGAGCAGTCCACATCCTTCAGAGGGTCTGTGGGTCCTCTCAGCGTTGCTGGTTTGTTCTTGCAGTCAATCTGGAACTAAAATTGACAATGCAAACCTCTGCATGCTGCTCTGTCTCGCACTGCAATCTAGTCCTGCCTCTCGCATGCCATGATCCTCTGAATCCCTCGTTGGAGGTTTAAGTCCAAGGAAGTATTCTTCCAGCTGCAGGCTATTTGAATTTGGATTAAGGAGTTATGTTGGAATAGGGTGCTATATTCCGATTATTAACAACATAATCAATTTTCATTATCTGTGAGTTCAAAATAAGGTGAGTTGGACCATTTTTTAAAAATTCCTAAAGTCACTTGCTTCAGCATGCTTCAGAACACAAAACCCACATTCTGTCACACTTACTACACTGTATTTCTTCAATCCTATTTTGAAGACCATGATTCCTGGGCAATGTGAGGTAAAGGAAACCAGAAAACTGCATGTAATCTGCAAAGCCAGTGATTCACATTCAGATGCTCAAGAACTTACGTAGCAATCCTATCTGATGACTTGAGCTCAATATCAATTAATTTTTTGCACACCCTTTGGCCTAGCAATTTGTAGAAATCCATTCTACAAAATGCTACTTATGTGTGCAAATATATATGTTGCAAAGATGTTCATGAAGCCATTTTAATAACAAAGAACTGGAAACTATTAATCCATTGTACAGGACCATGAATGCACAAATTATGGTACATTTACATAATGGGATCCTATGAAGCTAATAAAAAATGAGGGCAGGCTGGGCACAGTGGCTTATGTCTGTAATCCCAGCACTTTGGGAGGCTGAGGCAGGCAGATCACAAGGTCAGAAGTTTGAGACCAGCCTGCCCAACATGGCAAAACACTGTCTCTACTGAACATACAAAAAATTAGCCAGGCGTGGTGGCAGGCACCTATGATCCCAGCTACTCAGGAGGCTGAGGCAGGAGAATCACTTGAACCCAGGATGGGGAGGTAGCAGTGAGCCGGGATTGTGCCATTGCACTCCAGCCTAAGCAAGAGAGACTCTGTCTCAAAAAAAAAAAAAAAAAAAAAAAAAGTGGGTTGTCTGTCTCTATATGCTTTTCACAGAGATCTCTAAAACATGGCATTAAAAGAAATGTGTTCTGTGCTACGGGTGATGAGGCAGCCTGTGAGCCTGTGGACTGTGCGATGGGTGATGATGTAGGTTCATCAGGTGCAGCAAATGTGGAGAATGTTAGTGATGGGGAGGCTATGTGGGTGTGGGGGCAGAGGACACATGCGAAACCTCTGTGCCTTCTATTCCATTTTGCTGCAAACCTGCTTTAATAAAACTGCTTTAATAAATAGTCTATTTTAAAAAGAAAAAAAGCACATTACAAAGGATTATTTTAGATCCCATTTAGGTAAGCTATGAAGCAAAAGTAGATGTGTGTGTATGGGAGTATATATATGCAGATGCATAGAAGGAACTGGAAGGTTGAAAGAATACACACCAAGTGATGCAGCTGTGCCTCCTGGAAACCGGACAGCAACAGAAAGAAGACAGGGTGAAAAAAAGACTAACATTTTACTTCCTACACTTTTATGACAGTTGTACAGAGTAAATGCAGTCCTGTATTCCTTATGCAGGGGAAGAAAACACCACAGAATAAAGATGAACAATCAAAAAAGTGATGAGACCAAAGATGAGCCAAGTGCCAATCATCCTTAAGTCAAATACTGTGTTGTAGAACCATCTAGCCCAAATAAGGCCTTAGATATTCTATTCTTATTCTATTGGTTCATCAAAAGCCTAATATAGGTCAGATGTGGTGGCTCAAGCCTGTAATCCCAGCACTTCGGGAGGCTGAGGCAGGCAGACCACCTGAGGTCAGGAGTTTGAGATCAGCCTGGCCAACATGATGAAACCCCATCTCTATTTAAAATTTAAAAAATTAGCCAGGCATGGTGGCAGGCGCCTGTAATCCCAGCTACTCGGGAGGCTGAGGCAGGAGAATTGCTTGAACCCGGGAGGTAGAAGTTGCAGTCAGCTGAGATTGCACCATTGCACTCCAGCCTGGGTGACAAGAGAAAAATTCTGTTTCGAAAAAAAAAAAAAAAATTTTATAGCCTAATATAGAATCCTACAAATGTTGCTAAGAAAGTAAACTGAATAGGATTGCTTTAATTCTTATGATTAAACTCAAAACAAAAATGCTGGAACCTTAGTATAACTTTAAATTATATATCATTTATTGAAATATAAAGATCTTCATTTACACGTTTTAAAACAAAAACGTGAACAGGGGCATTTGTAATACATTTTGTATCGGTAGACCCTATCAAGTTAGTTCTTATCACACATTCACCACATTGCTGTTTTGGGAACATGTTAAGTATTTTTCTCTTTATTATTTCTAAAATATAAATTTTGGACATTCAAAAGTGCAACAGTTAATGTGCCTGTGGGGATTATCACAGTTAAAAAAAATATAAACAAAGGCAGTGATACAGCTTGTCATAAATGTTTTGGCAGTATTCTCCAAGTCTATATAGAAATACATATATACATATCGATGTATAACATCATTTTATCGTACGTCCCTCTTCACAAAAATAGGACCATTTTGTACAGATTGGCAGACCACATCTTAAGGACATCATTGATGTTTTTAAAAGTCACAAATTGTGTTTCTCAGGCCAGCTTTGATTGTCATCATAAAATTAGAAAATAGGAAAGTTTGGCAAATTTTCTTCTGGAGACTTTGCAGGAGGCCAAAAAGGAAACAAATCTGTAATTTGCTGAAAACACGCGCACACACACAAACACACACAACATGCAGTCATATACAAATTCAGGTGGGAGCATTTGTTAGGACTGGAAACTGCTGGTCTGAGAAGTTTCATCCCGCCTCATGATGTCATGCAAGCTCATGGCCATATCAAAATGCAAAGCACCAACAAAATAAGGCTATGCAAGGGAGAGTGAGCGGTAAACAGAATGCTTGAGCTGTGATTCTAGAAACACAAATGTATTTCAAGTCTAATTGGCTCTACAGAACCTAGTCAGGTTTTCCTTTTTGATTGGCCAATCTGGCTCAGTCTTTGCACTTACTATGAAAAAGGTGGATAAGAAAGTTAGGGCTTGCATTGAGATTATACCAGTAGGTAGTCAAGTGCTTTGTTATTGCTTCTGCATCTTCCAAAGCATCACCTGCCGATAGCACATACAGTGATTGCAGTAATCACAGCCCATGTTTCATTCATATGGTTTCAGCAATTAAGCAGTATTGCAAAGAATGCCAATGAACCCACACCAACCTGTTTGACGGTGTGGATAAGACGTGACAATTCCTCCTCCCATCTAAACCCAAATTATCAGTAAAACTTATTTTCTTTTTTTCACCAAAACACTGAGCTGGTTACAGAGACTTGGAACACTGAACTGCATAATTTTTGTACATGCTTTTCCTTGGTGGGGGACGGAGGAGGAGGTGGGAGATTGGAGATGGGACAAGTTCAGCTTCCCCATATGGTGGGAAGTAGCGTCTTTACTTTTGGAAAACCCGCCAAAACCAAACTCTGGCTTTCTCAGCCTCAGCTAAGACTGGAAAGTTAAATTAAGGGTCACAATTGCTAGCTAGATGGTGTTAAATGTCACTGACCTGAAGCCAAGGATTTAAATAGTAGGCTTCCTGTGTGGTTGAATTCCAACCCTGTTCTAAAGTTCAAATTATTTGTTTCCCATGGCAACTTCCTGAAACTTAAGTCAGTGTTTCTGAAAACTGGCCGATCAGAACAGCACGTGCAGCCTCTGCGAAACAATACCTTTATGGTCTCAAGTTTCAAACTCTTTCTTTTTTGGGTAAAGGGTGGAAGAAGGAGGCTGATGTCTGGGCATTCTTCTGATCGTTTTCAGGTTCACAGATTCAAAAAATATATAGACTGGGATTTGCTGAAGCTTTCACCAGGCACGAAGAAGAAGAAGAAGGAAAAAAAACCTCTGCAAATCCAGTCTTTTTGCTGATCGTTGTATTTTCCATTGGGTAATATAGATGAGAAGTCATGTTCAACACAGGTTTATGGCCCTACATGGAGAACTTTTAGGACTTTAGTTTTGTGGTTTCTAATCCCATTATTTCAGAGGGCAGTTAATTGTTTTTAATACCATGGATTGGGGAACCTATTCAGTACAGTTAAAAACTCTGACTTCCTGGACAACACTACTTTTACTTTGTTCTCTATGCTCAACTAAATTTAATTCACTAAAGCTATTACCATACTTTATAGAGAAACATGTTATTTAATATAAATGTCAAAAACTGTCAAACTTGTCACCTACGTAGTAAGGATTTTTTAAAATTGTGCTTTCTCTGGAGGGAAATCATGTTACATATTACACATTTAGCATTACTGATAACAGTAGTAGTATTATAAATGTAGATTACAATACGAAAATGAGTTGTCAGCCTTCTAAATGACCCAAATCTATTAAACAAGGTTGGTTAATTATTATTCTTGATTTCTTTAACACTAAAAAAAAAAAAAAAAAAAAAAAAGTAAAATGTATAGTACCAGTACCTTTCAGGGTTCAAAAGTGGTTTTTCATGCACTTCACAAAAAAAGTTCAACAGCAGCTGATACCAGGTTTCAAAAGGGAAGTACATGGATGGATTGAGTGGTCTCTTCAGAAGTCCAAAGAAGATAGTTAATACAATCTACTAACACAGCCTTGGTTAGAGTTATTTACATAATTACAATGCTGAAGTTCTGTCGCAGAATAAATTGTGTCCATTGGACTCTCATCAATGCCCTTGAAACACAAAGTTCACCTTCTGTGGCCTATTATTCCCTTGTTCATCTATCTCCTAATTTCACACGCCACTGAGATGCTACTGAGGCATTACAAGAGGCAACGCTGAAAAAGTTCCTTTCAAAATATCCCATTTATTCACACGTAGAAGGCTCCCTGAGGCCCTTGGCTGGGAACTTCTCTTTAAACATCAACCAAGTCCTCCTCTCAACCTTTGCATTGCAATAAAGTGGTTTTCTGAATGGGATCCAGAGGTGGCCCCGGAAGTGAAAGAACCCCTCGAATCGTCAGTTACAGGAAGCTGTCTTCCACCAGGTCTGAAGAGTCTATGCCGATGTCGTCCATCATGTCGATGTCTTCAATGGTCTCGTCCTCTCTCTTGATGAAGGTGGAACTGCTGGAACCCGTCTCAATGGCACTCTCTTCAGAGGTCTGCGAGCTGGAGGACGGAGAGAAGAGCAAAGGTTACAAAGCTTCTCCTGCACAGAACTAGAACTAGAGTGTGGCCCCCCTCCCCCAGAGACAAAGGAAAGCCTTCGGCATTCAAAATCGGGCTGCAGAGTATGGCAGGATTCTGCCCCGGCCTGACAGGCTGTGCTAGGCCACATGGAAAACCAAGGTCCACCTGCCATTTTACACTTCAGCTTTCCTGCTTTTCTGCCGGGCCTTTCATCAGAGTTGCTGACCAGCTGCAACAATGTCTATTTTCCCTACTCAGTCCTAGTGGCAGAGAAAATAAGCAATGCCTGATCCAAAGACCCAGGAAGGCAGAGCAGAGGGGTGCGGTGAGCTGCAAGCTGTAGTCAGGCCTGTCAGGTGGTCTCCCGGAAGCCTCCTGAGATCCAAACTGTGTTCTTAGGCTCTCCTGCCACTTGCCTGGAATGGCCTCTTCCACTCTCTCTTGACAGCCAATGCCCCCCACATCTTGAAGGCCTCCTTATGTACTAGGGCAGTGGTTGAAAGGGGAGTTCTGGAGTCAAAAGGTCTTAGGTCTGGAATGGTCCCGTCACTTCCTAGCTGCGTGATGTCACTTACTTAACTTCAACTTCAACTGAGAAAGTTCATTTTCTGATGTGTCTAATTCTGCAGCTCAGCCTGCTGTCGCCCTAGGAAACTTCTGGGCACCTGTCTCATCATGTTATTTATTTCAATGTGACTTTCTAACTTTACTTAGAAGCAGAACCCTTTTACAACTGAAATAGTGCTGCAGTGAACATACACATGCATGTATCCTTATAATGGAATGATTTCTATTCCTTTGGATATATACCCCATAATGGGATTGAAGGGTCAGACAGCATTTCTGCCTCTAGGTCTTTGAGGCATTGCCACACTGTCTTCCACAACAGTTGAACTAATTTACACTCCAACCAACATTGTAAAAGCGTTCCTTTTTCTCCACAACCTCAACCAGTATCTGTGTTTTTTGACTTTTAAATAACAGCCATTCTGACAGGTGGGAGATGGTATCTCAGATCTTGTCCTTCTTTATTGATGCATAGCATTCTGTGGTGTATATATACTACATTTTCTTTATCCAGTCTACTGTCAATGAGCATTTAGGTTGATCTCATGTCTTTGTTATTGTGAATAGTGCTGCACTGAGCATATGTGTGCATGTTTTTATGGTAGAACGATTTATATTCCTTTGGTTATATACTCAATAATGGGATTGCTGGGTGGAATGGTAATTCTGCTTTAAGTGCTTTGAGAAATCACCACACTGCTTTCCACAGTAGCTGAACTAATTTGCACTCCAACAAGCAGTATATGAGTGTTCCCTTTTCTCCGCAACCTCATCAGCACCTGTTATTTTTTGACTTTTTAATAGTAACCATTCTGACTGGTGTGAGATAGTATCTCAATGTGGTTCTGATTTGCATTTCTCTAATGATCAGTGATGTTGACCATTTCTTCATGTTTGTTGGCTGCATGGATGTCTTCTTTTGAAAAGTGTCTGCTCACGTCCTCTGCCCACTTTTTAATGGAGTATGATAATATTTGAGGTAATTTGAATTTTAACTGGCTATCTGATGCCTTAACAATCTATTGTCCCTGTTTTGGGTGAGATAATGGCATTGTAGTTATTTTTAATAACCTTTTTAAATAATGTTATTATTCTTTAAAATGGAGCCCTTAACTTTAAGAGACACACACTGGAATACTTATGGACAAAATGATACGGTGCCTAGGATTTGCTTCCAAACAATCCAGAGGAGGCTGAGGAGACAGACTGGCCATGCATGCATCCAGGCTGGCAGACTGCATAGTTGTTGAACCTGGGTGATGGATACCAAACAGCTCACTATACTATGTGAATTGTACACATGTTAGAAACGTTCCATAATACCAAATTTAAAAGAAAGAAGAAATAAATCAGCCAGGGAGCAGTTGGCCACCACCCCCAGGATTCCAATTTGTTGTTTTGGGTGAGGCTTGTATATCAGCAGTTTTTAAATCTCTGCAGGTGATTCCAATTCACAGGTAGGGTGTAGCATCAAAGGACCCAGTCCTGCCTCTCTCCACTTTTTCTCTAGTTCAATGACTATTTAAGACAGGAAAAGCGCATAGGATCTCAATAATCACAGCTCTGTATCAATTTGATCGATTACCTAAGAACTTAGCTCAAAGATTTTCCACCAGTGAAGCACGTCCCCCTCCTCACAACTCACACACCCCTCCCCCAGCCCCAGGGGGAACATATCAGAATTATCTGGGAAGCATTTTCAAAACCACACAGATGTCCTGGGGATTCTGCAACTTGCTCCTGAGTACAGATTCACCACCCAGGAGTGCATCATTATCGGGTGCAATGGGTCCTCTCCTTTAGGGCCTGTTGGGGAGGGGAAAGGCGAGACCCCGAGGCTGCCCCCACTGCTACCTGTGTCTGTTCCTCTTGCCCAGGTCCTCCTCCTCGGGGACAGGGTCGATGTCAGGCAGAGGAATGATGTAGCCACTGTCAGCGCTCAGCCTCTGCTCATCCAGGCCACCCTCCCAGTCCTTCAGCTTGTCTTCCTCGTTTTTGTAGGTGACACCAACGTACGCGTTGTCTGAGTCCACACGCATGCGTGCCACGGCAGGATGGTCACTCTTCAGGAAGTCCAGGTGAATTTTTTCGTAACTCTATAAACAGTCATTGAACATATGGAATCAAGTGTTAATGACCAAACCTCAAAACTGAATAGAGACACTCAGAACTTAACTATTATTTAATGCTGCATGTTTCCAAACTACCTGGAAGATGTGGGACTTAGCTGAAGGAAAGTCATGTCAGAGAAATAGGACATGAAGAAGGGGCGACCAATGGTAAAGAGCGTCTGCTAGTGTCCTAAGACACCAACAGCCCCACTGGCTGGGCGCGGTGGCTCACACTTGTAATCCCAGCACTCTGGGAGGCTGAGGCGGGTGGATCATGAGGTCAGGAGTTTGACACCAGCCTGATCAACATGATGAAACCTGCCTCTACTAACAAAAAAAAAAAAAAAAAAAATTAGCCAGTTGTGGTGGTGGGTACCTGTAATCCCAGCTACTCAGGAGGCTGAGGCAAGAGAATTGCTTGAACCCAGGAGGTGGAAGTTGCAGTGAGCCAAGATCCCATCACTGCACTTCAGCCTGGGTGACAGAGTGAGACTCTGTCTCAAAAAGAAAAAAGAAGATACCAACAGCCCCTTCTCTAAGTCAGTAGCTACAAACCATGTCCCCTCCCCATCCCTACCCAGGACCAGCAAGAACCCTTCTGGTCCCCATCACATCACCTCTCCAGAGCTTGGATGGGTCCCAGAGAGGCAGTGAGGACTTCCATTGGGTGGATAATACCCAAAGCCTTCATGATTGTTAAACATTGAAGAGGTCTAACATTGGATGTGAAAAGACCCTATTTTCAACAACAGTTTCAATCTCTTCCCACCAACACATTTCCACCAATCAGAGCATCTTTGACCAACCAATGGTTAATTTCCTCACTGCCTCCTCACCTGTGAAAGTTGCAGTGAGTGGGCAGTGAGATAATTAATAGACAGAAGTATTGAACTTCCAATTCAGCACACAATCTCTTAATGCCTCCTTGAGAAGAAGGAAGAGACATGATAAGTATAAAACGTCTACACAGGGACTAATCTGAGTCTCAGAAACTGAGGTTATGTCTGAGTTTTCCTCTCAATGCCTCAGCAGAAAGTTGCTCCATTCATTTACATATCCTGCTTGGTTCCATGAAATTACATTTGTTCCTTTGAACAATAATTCCTATTCCACAGAAAACCGGCTGTAGCCACAGATAACAGCTGAGGTTGTTGCTTCCAGTCAGCTGGTAAAAGCTAATTTCGCATGGATTTAAGCGTATTCAAATTAGCGATTTAATGGCCATGGATGCCCTGAGACTCCTAACTGCACACTAGCTTCTGATACTCAAGCATCTGGATAATACAGTGCTTACAGGTGCTGCACATTTAAGATGAAAGGAGAGCCCCAGGCAAAGGGAGGGTTTCATTCATCATTGCTACTAGGGTCCTGTGGAGCACCGCCATGAAGCCCAACCACTGGATCACACAATCTTTTGCCTCTTTTGAAAATATTCCTCCAGAACTGCCAAACCGCACTGCCTACTGGCATAACTTCCAGCTTTATCCAGACCTTTGAACCCACCGTAATAGATCCAGACACACCTTTTTATATTGTCCAGGCAGCAGATTCTCTACAATCTCACTCAGGTGGTAAAAGGAGGGTCTCTTTTCCGGCTCACTGTTCCAGCATTTCACCATGATCTCATAGCTGGAGGGGCACAGAACTCAAGAGTGGGCACAGGGGGAAGTCTCAGGGCACCTCCCGCCCCCTAGCCCCACAGAGTATAACCACAGGCCCCCGGGATGGGAAGAGAGCTCACACTTCACTGGTAGCGTGGTCAGGCTTGGCCATCCGGTATCCACTCTTGATCTTATTGTAGAAAGTAGAATCCACCATCATGCCAGGGTAAGGGGTGCCACCTAAAAGCCAAACAATAAAACACGAGGACTAATAAATGCTCAGTGCATTTATTTACTTATCACTTGGCATGATTGAGCACTGTTAGAAAACCTTTCACATCCTAGAGCCTTGAAGCACTAATTTTTTCAAGAAAATTCAGTGTCGTCATCTCCTGGACTTCACAGACCAGCTCAAATCTTAAATTTAACTAGGACTTCAGGTTGGTCAAGTCCAAGTACCATCACAAAAATTCCACATCTTTAGAAACAAGCATTCAAGGGTTTTTCAATGTGTTTGACTATTGGATCAACACAAACAAAATAGAAAAGCAAGGAGAAATTCTGATTCATTAAAACCCAGAGAGACTTTTTATCAGGTATGCTCAAATAGCTAAAGCAAAAGTCAAAGCGAGGGCCTGAAACATTGATATAATTCTCTACTTTTGAGGGAACATGAGATTCCATTAAGCCACTGCCGGGTGGTGCATTGTGATCATGCACAGAGGGAGAACCAGGATGAAAAAGGAGACGGGGCAGGAAGACACACTTTCCTGTCACATCCTGATCACAGACAAATTCATGAAACATTTCACACTTTCAAAGCCAAGGCCAGGTCAAGTTCAGTTCCCTCTCTGAAGCCTTCCCACACTATTCTGGGACTCCTTTCTCTTTACTCAAGACTCGAATTACAATTTTAAATCAGCACCACACTGTTTATCCCTAAATGCGTAAGTCTCATCTCCCCAGATGAACCATCCAGAGGTCAGGGTTGTGGCTCATCCTTCTCTTAGGGACCTCACCTGGGCAGCCCAGGGCACCTGGATTGTTCAGCACCTGGGGACTGGCCAATGACAACCAAGAATGTAAGACCTGTCCTCCACATACCCATTTTCACCTGAGCATCAATCACCACTAGGTGAGGGAGGGCCCACTCTCCACAGGTGAATCCATGTGACCCAAAGCCCAAAATGAAAAAGTAGCTGGGACGTGAATGTCACTGGGGCCACTTCCAGTGGGAGGAAGTCACTCTGGCATAGCCCAGTGGAGAGGAGGCAGAGGCCGGGAGTCAGACACAACTCCCATCAAAGACCCCATCTCCATCTGCATGGGCCCATCTCAAACACAATAAGGCACAACGTGTGGTGTGAGAGGGCTGCAGCGTCCTGGGCTCACATCTGGTTATCTTAACACCATCTATATCCTGAAGCTTGAAAGAACACGTTTCCCTTCCAGGGGTGTTTCAGAACAGTCCAAACAAACAGAGATGTCAGGCCCATACCAAGGGAAAAGATCTCCCAGAGCAGAATGCCGTAAGACCAGACGTCACTCAGTGTGGTGTAGAGGTTGTCAAAGATGCTCTCAGGAGCCATCCACTTCACAGGCAGAAAGGTCTGCAAAGAGGGAGGAAGAGAGTTAAACCCACATCTACTCACTGATGATCTAGAGCAGTGGAAATGGAAAAGAGTTCACCCTGGACTATTAGTAACTAACTTGTGCTAATTATCCTGTCCTATGGGAGTGTCTCTTATATGTGTTTTGTTCATTGCTGAACTCTCGGTGCCTGGCATGTAGTAGGTGCTCAACAAATACTGGATAAATTATGAATGGTCAATATTGCCTTTTATGCCCTCCAAAGGAATAATATCCAAAAACATTAATCCTGAATTTTCACTCAAGAAGTGTAAGCCCTGAATGGGTTTCCTATTTTTAGGTATTCCTGCAAACAAAATTAAGAACAGATCCAGTGATGTATGAGCTGGTTACAGCTTTTGAGCTCTAATAAATAAATAGTAATTTTCCACCACTACAGAGAGCCGGATGTTCAGTTGACATTTGTAGGCTCTTTTGTGAAGCTGGTCCAACCTTCAGTATTTACACTGAAGATTGGACCAGCTTCACAAAAGAGCCTACAAATGGCTACTTTATAAACTGAAACAGATATATAAAGTAGCCACATACCACCCTTCAATCCTCTATGATTTCTGAGGAAATAAGAGATTCATACAAGTGGGAAATTAGCTCCACCAAAGTCTAGTGATTTGTTCCAAGTGTTTAAAGTTGTGTAGGAAGAGCCCCCCAGCTACAAGTCACAGCCACATGAGTACATGAATCACAGCCAACATGGACACAGGCCCATGTCTTTCCCTGGGTGGAAGCAGCAGTTGCAGTGAGCTATCTCACATCCAGTGCAGCGAGGTGATTTGGAATTGTACCTACAGGCAGCAGATGTCTCCCAAGCTGTGTCATCTGCTGAGAAGCGGAAGGCACGGGGAGAATGGCTCAAGAAAACAATAAAATGACTATCTTTAAGGAAACTCTGCCTCCAAGATACGTAAACGCAAAGGGTTTTAACATTTTAGGGATCACAGATGCCTTTCGAAAATGTGATAAAAGCTTAAAATCTAGAGACACCGTCCTTGGGAATGCATGCTCGTCCATGCATACATGCAACTGACATATTGATAGCTAACACTTGCCAGGTGCAGTGGCTCACACCTATTACCCCAGTATTTTGGGAGGCTGAGGCGAGTGGTTCACTTGAGGCCAGGAGTTCGAGACCAGCCTGAGCAACATGGCAAAACCCTGTCTCTACTAAAAATACAAAAATTAGCTGAGTATGGTGGGGCATGCCTGTAATCCCAGCTACTCGGGAGGCTGAGGCAGGAGAATCACTTCAACCTGGGAGGTGGAAGTTTGCAGTGAGCCAAGATTGCACCACTGCACTCCAGTCTGGGTAAGAGTGAGACTATGTCCAAAACAACAGAAAATAAATAAATAAATAAAATAGCTAACAGTTATTGAGTGCTGTTCCTATATGCCAGACACTGTCCTAAGCACTTCACACGAATTCACTGATGTAATCCCCACAACAACTCAACAAATAGCCACTATTATCACTTCCTACTACAGTCAGGGAGACCGAGGGGCAGAACAGTCGAGTATCTAGCCCCGAATCCAAATCAAGTAAGGGGTGGAGCTGGCACTCACACTGGGCAATCTGCTGCCACGGCTGTGTACTGACCCTTTGTAGTCTACTGATGTTTTTTAAAACAGGCACTGAATGTCTAGAAGCAACACCTGACTTCAGAGATTAAAATGAAGGAGGGTGTGCATGCCCAGTGAGGGAAGAGAGGACGTACGCTGCCTTTTGACACGTAGTTCGAGTCATGCATGATGTCTCTGGCCAGGCCAAAGTCACAGATCTTCACGATTTTTCCTTGTGCCAGGAGGACATTACGAGCAGCCAGATCCCGGTGGACACACTGCATGGAAAAGGAGGAAATGACTCCGGGTCAAGCCATCCGTGGCTGGACAGCATCACCCCTGCATGGTGGCACTTGGAGTTGCCTGCCTGGACATAAAGGACTGGCCTTCCCCCCGGTTCTCACTCCACCCACTGCCAACAGAGAGAAAGCTCTAGAGAAGAATAGACGCTTGATGATGTTGGACTCCCTGCCCTGCGTAGGGAATGAAGGAGAGAGACAGGTAAGTGAGAGGCCCCTGTATTTAATGGCCTTTCCGAGATCTATCTCCTAGCATCTCCTTCCACACTCCGCTCACTCTGAACTCTGTGGCTCGGCCTAAAAATGTCTCTTTTCCTTGAACGTACATTTTTTGAGGCCAAAAACTCCATTCCTCGGGCAACTTGATAGGTGAAGCTCAACAAATCCAACAGAGTAAGGCCTTCTGAGTTATCATCTGAAAGGAGGTTTTTGACTTCTGAGTCTACAAAAAAGAAATTAAATGTATTGGTACTGGTAGGCAGCAAGAAATCACCAGGTTGCAGAGGCTTGCCCTAAGAACATATCCAAAAATATTTTCTTAATTTTCTTGTAGAATGTTTGGACTCCACAGGTATCACTATGCCAAAGTTCTATCTTAGAAAAGAGATATATAGGCCAGGCATGGTGGCTCATCCCTGTAATCCCAGCATTTTGGGAGGCCGAGGCAGGCAGGTTGCCTGAGGTCAGGAGTTTGAGATGAGTCTGGCCAACATGGTGAAACCTTGTCTCTACTAAAAATACAAAAAATTAGATGAGCGTGGTGGCTTGCACTTGTAATCCCAGCTACCTGGGAGGCTGAGACAGGGGAACTGCTTGAACCAGGGAGCTGGAGGTTGTAGTAAGCTGAGATCACACCATGGCACTCCAACTTGGGTGACAGAGCAAGACTGTCTCGAAAAGAAAAGAGATATATACACACAACCATGTATCTGGTTAAAAAATTATATGCATGCACACACACACACACACACACACACACACACAGTGATATAGTTTGGATATATGTCCCCACCCAAATATCATGTTGAATTGTAATCTTCAGTATTGGAGGTGGGGCCTGGTGGGAGGTGACTAGATCATGGGGTTGAATTTCTCAAGAATGATTTAGCACCATCTACTTGGTGCTATCCTTGCAAAATCTGTCTATTTAAAACTGTGTGGCACCTCTCTCTCTCTCTCTCTTTCTCTCTCTCTCTTTCTCTCTCACTTGCTCCTGCTCTGGCCATATGATGTGCCTGCTCTCCCTTTACCTTCCACCATGATTGGAAGCTTCCTGAGGTCTCCCCAGAAGCAGATGCCTGCAGAGCCTGATAGCCTGCAGAACTGTGCATCAATGAACACTCATTTCTTCAAAAACTACCCAGTCTCAGGCATTTATAGCAATGCAAAAACAGCCTAATAGAGAAAATTGGTATCAAGAAATGGGGCATTGCTATAAAGATAACAGGGTAACAGGCAGAGCTCAGAAGAGTTTGGAGGGCTCACAAGAAGATAGAAAGATGAAGGAAAGTTTGGAACTTCTTAGAGACTGGACAAATGGTTATGACCAAAATGCTGATAGTTATATGGACAATGAAATCCAGGCTGCCAAGGTCTCAGATGAAAATGAAGAATTTACTGGGAACTGGAATAAAGGTCACCCTTGTTAAGCCTCAGCAAAGAACTTGGCTGCACTATGTCCATGTTCTAGGAATATGTGGAAGTTTGAACTTCAGAGTGATGACATAGGGTATCTGGTGGAAGAAATTTCTAAGCAGCTAAGGGTTTAAGATATGGCCTGGCTGCTTCCAATAGCCTACACTCAGGTGCAGAAGCAAAGAAATGACTTGAAGTTGAAATTTATCTTTAAAAGAGAAGGTCACACATGTAATCCCAGCACTTTGGGAGGCTGAGGTGGGAGGAGTGCTTGAGTCAGGAGTTTGAACTAGTCTGGACAACATAGCAAGATTCCACCTCTTAAAAAAAATAGTAAAAGGAAGCAGAGGATAGAAGGTTGGAAAATGTGCAGCTTGGCCATGTGACAGAGAAAAAAAGCTTTTGGGGGAGAGAATTAAAGAGGACTGCTGAGCAACCACTTGCTAGAGAAATCTGCATAACTAAAAAGGAAGCAAAGGCTGACTGCCAAGACAATGGGGAAAAGGCCTTGAAGCCATTTTGGAGATTTTCATGGCAGCCCCTCCCATCACAGGTCAAGAGGCCTCGGAGGGAAGAATGGTTTCACGGGCCAGGCCGAGGGCCCACTGCCCTGTGTAGCCTCAAGACACTGCTCCCTGCATCCCTGCGACTCCAGCCCTAGCCGTGGTTCAAAGGAGCCCAGGTGCAGCTTGGGTTGCTGCTTCAGCCAGCGACAGCCTTGGCAGCTTCCACGTGGTGTTAAGTCTGTGGGTGCACAGAATGCAAGAGTTGAGGCTTGAGAGCCTCTGCCTAGATTTCAGATGATGTATATAAAAACCAGGGTGTCCAGGCAGCAGCATGCTGCAGGAGTAGAGCCCTCACAGAGAACCTCTAGGAAGGCAGTGCAGAGGGGAAATGTGGGGTTGGAGGCCCCACACAAAGTCTCCACTGGGGCACTGCCTAGTGGAGCTATGAGGGAAGGGTCACCATCCCCCATGAATGATAGATCTGCCATCAGCTTGCACTCTGCACCTGGAAAAACCACAGGCACTCAACACCAGCCCCTGAGAGCAGCTGCAGGGGCTAAACCCTGCAAAGCCACAGGGAATACTGCCCGTCCCTAGAGTTCCACCCCTTGCACTGGATATGGGATATGGAGTCAATGGAGATTATTTAGAGCTTTAAGCCCTGCTGTGTTCTGGGTTCTGCACTTGTTTGGGGCTTGCAGCCCCAATTTATCCCTTTGGGAATAGGAGTGTTGACCCAATGCCTATAACCCCATTGTATCTTGGAAGTAAATAACTTGTTTTTTATTTTACAGGCTCACAGGTGGAAGGGACTTGCCTAGTGTCAGATAAGACTTTGGACTTTAGGCCGGGCGCGGTGGCTCAAGCCTGTAATCCCAGCACTTTGGGAGGCTGGGGCAGGTGGATCACGAGGTCAAGAGATTGAGACCATCCTGGTCAACATGGTGAAACCCTGTCTTTACTAAAAATACAAAAAATTAGCTGGGCGTGGTGGCACGTGCCTGTAATCCCAGCTACTCGGGAGGCTGAGGCAGGAGAATTGCCTGAACCCAGGAGGCGGAGGTTGCGGTGAGCCGAGATCGCGCCATTGCACTCCAGTCTGGGTAACAAGAGCGAAACTCTGTCTCAGAAAAAAAAAAAAAAAACGACTTCAGACTTTGAGTTCATGCCGGAATGAGTTAAGATTTGAGGGGACTATTGAGGAGGGATGATTATATTTTGAAATGTGAGAAGGGCATGAGATGTGGGAGGGTTCAGGGCCAATGTGATATGGTTTGAATATGTGTCTCTGCCCAAATCTCATGTTGAATTGTAATCTCCAGTATTGGAGGTGGGGACTGATGGGAGGTGATTGGATTGTGGGGACAGATTTCTTATGAATGATTTAGCACCATCCTTTTGGTGCTGTCCTGGCAATAGTAAGTGACTTCTTGTAAAATCTGGCTGTCTAAAAGTGTGTGACACCTCTCTCTTTTTCTCTCTCTTGCGTGCTCTTACTCTGGTCATGTGATGTGCTTGTACCCCTTTGCCTTCTGCCATGATTGGAAGTTTCATGAAGCCTCCCCAGAAGCTGAGCAGATCTACCAGCACCATGATTCCTGTAAAGCCTGCAGAACCATGAGCTAACTAAACCCCTTTCCCTTACAAATTACGCAGTCTCAAGTGTTTCTTTATAACAATGCAAGAACAGCCTAAACTACACACAAACATACACGCACACATAAAACACACAAACAGCCACAAAGAGCAATGTCACACACAATTTTTTTGTTTGCCTCTTAAATTTTTTTTTTCAACCGTAGTTAGCAAATCTTCTCAGTCACCTTTAAAATACACATACACATACATACACACATTAAAAATCTCCCATGATGAACATATATGGAGCACACATACAAGCTACGTGAAAAAGTAGCTTCTGGGAATTGCCTTATTTTCCTTTAAAAGCCACCTTCTTAGTCCTTTGCTTATAGTTTGTTAATAAAATCAACCGCCAATCACATGCGATAGCATCTAAGAGATCAGTGCCAATATGACTTTGCTTTGAGTTTCTTTGTTTGTAACTTGTTCACTTTCCCCAGTTAATCCCATCTGGAAGGGTCCCAGCGTTTTCGAGGAAGAAGGCAATTTAATCCACAAGTTCTCAATTCTTTTTGAAAAATGTTCAGGCAAGTGAAGAGTAGCTCCAGCCATTCACATTTTTTTCAGCTAGCCACAGAAGGCCAGAAAGCAGTGGTCTGCCTGCCAACAGGGCTTGGGCCTGAGGATGACTCAGGGTTCCTCTGACATCTCACGCCAAGTCCACCAGCCCAGGCTCGGAAGCAATGTAAACTATTTTTAACAATATGGGAGGGGAGAGGAAGCACTGGTTCCGATAACTCTCACTGGCTAATCTTTTAAAAGCGCTTGGAAGTTCACCCATTTGGCAATGAAAGGTGAATGGAACTTGGAACTGCAGAAATGGAAAATATTGTTGTGTACTGAGCTTTGCAAAACAAGCACATTCTGTTTTAAATGGATTGTACCTTTCACTGAAGAACCCTGAAAACATTCAGAGCACAACAATAATTTCCAAAACAATGTCCAGGGCAGCTCAACACTTTTTTGCATTGACTAATGGGAGGGCTCACACCCGAAAAGACAAGCTCACAGGACAAGCCGATGTCAGACTTCCAGCTCCAAGCCCGTGACAAGTCCAGGGCTCTGGAGGGGCCACCCTGAGCAGATGAGAAGTGGTCCATCTGGTCTAGGCATCAGCTAGACTCCCTGGAGTTTATAAATCAATTTCACCATGCCACATACTCGTGTGCTTGAAAAACAATTAGACCTACCTTCCGAGAACATTCAACAGAAACACTTAGCCAGAAAATACAACTGCAAATTATCTCTCTACTTTCATCACAAATTGAATGTTAGGAAAAGAAAAAGCAAGGGTTACTTCTAAAACTTTTAAGGGAAAAAACCAGCATGAGGAACCAACATAAAACTGCCAACTCGTAATTCTGCCAAGTGAGGGCATTGGAAAAACAAATCAAGCACCATATTTTCGTTAAAAAAGAAAAAGACATGTTAGCAACAAAAAAGGAAATTCATTATATCAGAATAAATAATTGTTTAAAAAATGTTTACCGCAGATACCAGGAAAATTCTTTAAAACTATTACATTTAAAGTTTACAAAATTTGTTACATTGTCTGCTTTTATTCTTTTCAATTTACAGGCCACGAACCTGGAAACATGTCACAGAACTGGTTGTGCAGACCTGCATTTAGAGACCACGTGGGCTGCCAGGTTCACTTATCATCCCTCTACACTTTCTCGTGAATACTTTAAGCATCAAATTAAACCACTGGACAGTACCAACACCCAGAGGGAGTATAGTCACTTTTACCTAACATGGATTTCTTCTTATATGAGGCTGGACGATCATAGAGTGATCTCTGGATGTCGGAATATTTAGAAACTTCTTTCCTTTCCAGCATGGGGACATACTGTGTAGTATCAGCTTGCTTCATATCCATGTAGTCACCATTGTTTTCAAAAGACAAAATAACATAGCTGTAAACACAGAAAGAGAAATCTTACCCAGGGTGCCCTTCTGAAGTGGTCATTCCACTTGCAGTAGATAATGATTTGGGGGGATCTACAATGTGCCGGGCACTGAGGTAGGCAGGGGAGCTAACTAGGTAAAAGCAAAACCAATTCACACCCTTCACCTGAGGTGATCTAGTCAAGGAGATGACCATTAATCACATAATCACACAAATACATGGATCACAGCAATCCCACTACTGGGTATCTACCCAGAGGAAAGGAAGTCATTATATGAAAGATACTTGCACACATGTGTTTATAGCAGCACAATTCGCAATTGCAAAAATGTGGAGCCAACCCCAAATGCCCATCAATCAAGGAGTGGACAAAGAAACAATGGGGTATGTGTATATATATGATGGAATACGACTCAGTCAAAATAAGTTATGAATTAAGAGCATTCACAGCAACCTGGATGGGATTAGACACTATTATTCTAAGTGAAGTAACTCAAGAATGGAAAACCAAACATCGTATATTCTGACTCCTAAGCGGGAGCTAAGCTATGAGGATGCAAAGGCATAAGAATGACACAATGGACTTGGGGACTCAGGGAAAAGGTCGAGGGGGTAGGGAGAAAAGACTACATATATGGTGAAATGTATATTACTCAAGTGATGGGTGCACCAAAATCTCACAAATCACCACTAAAGAATTTACTCATGTCATCAAATACCACCTGTTCCCCAAAAACCTAGGGAAATAAAAAATATTTTTAAAGAGGGGAAAAAAAAGAAATGTAAAAAAACAAAACAAAACAAATATACAGATCAACTCAAACTCAGATGTGCTGTGAAGGAAGAAAGGTTTCAATAGCCTGTAAGGAAAATGACTCCAACTGGGGATCAAGAAAGCACTTTTCAGAAGATGTAGAATGAATCCCATTGACAAAGATGGGAAAGACGAGGGGCGTATTTGTCATGGCACCTGGCACATACACAGGACTCCACAAATGTCAGCTGCCATGGTAACTATCACTCACTTGTTTTCAGAGCCAGTTCCCCGCACATCTTCGGCAGGAGCACGCACATCATGAAGAACTACACCTAGGACAGTGGGGCTGCACGCCCATGGACCTGTAAGTCCATTACACTTGAACTTTGAAGAATTCACTGCATTGAGTCTGCCATTATTCTTTCTCCGTTTTTCAACTTACAAGGCTTGGAACCTGGGCCACGTGGCCATGTGGCTTGGGCATACAATTCCTTCTACCCAATCAATGTAGCATCCATTTGGTGTCCACCAAGTTATTTATTATGAAGTGAATTCATTGTACTTTCTGATCTTATAGAACTTCCTATCTACAGAGCTCTTTACAGCCACTTTTAAGTTTCTACATTGGGGATCACTATCATGGGTGTCATTTATAGGTTCAGGTTCAGCAAGGACCTTGAGCTTCGAGATCCACAGAGAGTTCTCACAAGGTTCCAGAACTCAAGCGTCCCTGGCCAGAGCTCATTTGATAGGTCCTAAGCGGATCACATGTAAAGAGCAGAAGAGCTCCCAGAGTGATTCCATCCAACTCTCACTCCCATTCAAATCTATCAACAAGGCCTTCCCATGTGATATCCCAGTCCAAAACACCTGTTGACATCATGTATCTCTCTGCATGATCATGGAATGGCTGGGTAGGATGGTCTGACTCTAAATCTTGCCACCTTGGGCACTGAACCTGCAGACATGGAATCTATCAGGATATGGGTCTTTCCATGTTTGATGCCTGTAAGGTAATGATAGACAACAGCATCTCTCTTTGCACCCACCTCCGTGTGCTTTCATCAGCAGGGTTCAATCCAAAGATATCCAGCTCTTTCTTTGGCTTCTCTGGGTGGTGGCTCAGGAAGCTATCCCGATTCTTATGCAAATAGTTTACCAAATCTCCATAGAAGCAGTACTCTGTGATGATGTAGATGGGGCCTATGGAGACCAAAACCGTTAGGAGACTGGTATGAAAATGAAGAACAGAAAAGCCATGAATTGTCCTGCAGATCATATGGGGCAGAAAAAAACAAGACACCAAAAAAGTTTTTGTTTTTGTTTTTTAAAGCCATGGGCCGGGCACGGTGGCTCACACCTGTAATCCCAGCACTTTGGGAGGCCGAGGCAGGCAGATCACGAGGTCAGGAGATGGAGAGCATCCTGGCTAACACGGTGAAGCGCCTTCTCTAGCCTCTACTAAAAATACAAAAAATTAACCAGGCGCCTGTAGCGGCACATGCCTGTAGTCCCAGCTATTTGGGAGGCGGAGGCAGGAGAATCGCTGGAACCAGGAGGTGGAGGTTGTAGTGAGCCGAGATCATGGCACTACACTCCAGCAAGGGTGACAGAGTGAGATTCCGACTCAAAAAAAAAAAAAAAAAAAAGCCATGAATGGCTATGACTGGACTGGCAACAGATGTTGCTCAGAAACAATGAGCTTCTATCAATTCAAGGGAACTGGTCAGCTCCATTCAAGGGACTTCTATTTCCTGGCACGTGCAGGGATGCAGAGTGGAGGATTTAAGCCTGATTGAACAGTTTTCGCAAACACACGTGTCCAGTGAAAGCCCTTACTCCAGGTCAGCGAGCCCACCTGACTTGGTGCAGGCTCCCAGCAAGTTTACAATGTTCAAATGTGGCCCCAGGTGAGTCATTATCTTCAGTTCAGACATGAGAGCTTGTTTTTCACTGGATCTGGCTGTGGCTGTTGAAGGAATAAATCACATATGAGTCCAGCTGGGCTACCAACTTCCCGTTCCCAGACTGAAAAAAAAGAACATGACTAATCCTGTGATTAGATATCATTCTATTAATCAAAAGTCTAAAAGAAGCAGATAGCTACTTGGCCTCAATGCTAATAACTAATTCCTAGCCTTTCTGGTAAAAAGAAGTCACTGGAAACAACAACTCTTAATTTTCCAACACATGGGCAAAGAGAGCAGTCTAACTAAATGTAATTGACAAAATTGTCTAAATACACATAAAACCTAGAGTCAGAAGAACCGGGACCTAGTCCTAAATGTCTTATTTACTAGCTGTATGATTTTGAGCAATTCCCTTAATATCACCATGCTCATAAAATCCCGAGAAAGGAGCACTTACGCTTTAACATCTTCACGGCAACCTTCATGACAGGCTGGGATCGGCTCAGTCCATAGGCTGTTCCTTCAACCACCTTCCCAAACGCTCCAGACCCCAACACCCGACCTGTGAGCAGGCAGAATCATTAACGCCCAAGAACTCCAGACGCCTCTTCAGCGTTCTGCAGGGAAGCCAGCTCTGCGGGTGGACAGCTGGGCGGGTGTCTCCCGTTTGGAGTAAGCATAATGACTCCTCCAAGTCACGGTGTCAAAAACAGAATTGAGCCCACAGGGAAGGAAATTAGCATAATTGCTTTTGCCAAATAACATTTGCAAAGGAAAGAAAACACAGAAGGGAGAAAGGAGGGTGCAGCCTTCCCCGGTGTGAGCGAGCGGTGTGACCTCTCTGTCTATCAGCTCCCCTGCGTGCAGGGCCAGCCCCTGGGATCCTCCACCTTCAGGGGCTCTCACCCAGAACCCCTGGTTCTCTCTTCTTTTGTTTTCCACATGCAAACAGGGGCATCTTTTGTCTTAGTAAATTCTTAGTCACTGGAAATACTTCGGTATTCAAAATATCACGGATTCCAAGGAGTGACTAAGTAAAAACTTCAGGCAGGGCTCAAGTCTCCCTGTTCCTTAGGAAGGCTACTCCACCAGGAGCTAACCAGGCCCGAGAGCACACTGAAGCTGCTGTTGCCACCCTGAAAGAGCTCACGGTCTGCGAGAACTGTTTCCCAAGGTGTCAGTCTCACCATGGATAGCCAAGCCAGGGAAAGACTCGGCTCATCAAAGACACTAACAGCCAACATTGCCTCTTATGCCTGTGTTACTGGAAATTGTACCTGGAAAGATATTGCTTTGCCAGCAATGTCTCTTGGTATAATGGAAATAGTGCCCTTCTCCCCACATTTTACTACTTAGTTTCACACTTGTTACCCAGGCTGTAGTGCAATGGTACGATCTTGGCTCACCACAACCTCCGCCTCCCAGGTTCAAGCAATTCTCCTGCCTCAGCCTCCCGAGTAGCTGGGGTTGGAGGCATGTACCACCATGCCAGGCTAATTTTGTATGTTTTAGTAGAGACGGGGTTTCTCCGTGTTGGTCAGGCTGGTCTCAAACTCCCGACCTCAGGTGATCCGCCCACCTTGGCCTCCCAAAGTGCTGGGATTACAGGCAGGAGCCGCTGTGCCTGGCCTATTTTACTACTTTTTTAACTCTCTAAGCTCCTCATCCCTTTTTGGGAAATAGGCAAGAAAATAAAGAATGCTTATAAGTATTTGAAATTGGGAGCAGTTCTCCTTGCCCACTGCCTAGACAGAGCGGATTTATCAAGGGAGGAGAACTGCAACGGAAAAAGTTCAATTCACACAAAGCCAGCTGTACAGGAGACTGGAATTTTATTATTACTCAAATCAGTGTCTCTGAAAACTGAGGGGATGGGGTTTTTAAGGATGATTTGGTGGGTACGGAGTGAAATGGGAGTGCTGATTGGTTGGGTCAAAGATGAGATCACAGGTAGCTGACCCTGGCCTCTTGCACTGAGTCAGTTCCTAGGTAGAGGCCACAAGATCAGATGTGACTGGTGTGGTGTCAGCTGGCGCATCGAAATACAGGGTCTCAAGCTGGGCGCAGTGGCTCAAGCCTGTAATCCCAGCACTTTGGGAGGCTGAGGCGGGTGGATCACGAGGTCAAGAGATCAAGACCATCCTGGTCAACATGGTGAAACCCCGTCTCTACTAAAAATACAAAAAATTAGCTGGGCATGGTGGCGCGTGCCTGTAATCCCAGCTACTCAGGAGGCTGAGGCAGGAGAATTGCCTGAACCCAGGAGGCGGAGGTTGCGGTGAGCCGAGATCGTGCCATTGCACTCCAGCCTGGGTAACAAGAGCAAAACTCCGTCTCAAAAAAAAAAAAAAAAAAGAAATACAGGGCCTCTAAAAGATCTCAAGCTCTGACCTCAGGTTCTACAACAGTGATTCCTAAACTGTCCTTTCTAATCTTGTAGTTAATTTGTTAGTCTTGCAAAGGCAGTCTAGTTCCCAGGCAAGAAGAGGGTTTGTTTGGAGAAAGGGCTGTTCTTGTCTTCTTATCAAAGTCAAACTATAAACTCAGTTCCTCTCAAAGTCAGTTTGGCCTATGCCCAGGAAGGAAGGAGGACAGCTTGGAAGCTAAAGCAAGATGGAGTTGGTTGGATCATATCTCATTCACTGTCATAATTTCCTCAGTTACAATTTTTGCAAAGGTGATTTCACTCCGGTGCCTTGCTCGATTTCAGTTTAACTCTCTAAGAAGATTTAAACTCTTCTGTATTTTGGAATGAAACAGGTGGATAATTAAAACCTGCATTTGGCATTCGTTAACATATATCCTGTTAGATTATTTATCTAACACAACCTCTACCTCTACTTTCATTTGCCTTTGTCTTGCTTTCATTCATTCGGAATGTGATTTAAAAAAGAAATATTCCCTTGGACTAAAACTTCACATACTTGGTCTCAGCCCAGGATTGAAATATTTGAAATACTTGTGATAAGTTGGCTTACTTATTTTTACACATTTTGCCTTAAAATGTACCTATATGTTTATATTCCATATTCCAAGTATATAAAAAGGAATATCTAATGCATCTTCAGAATGTACAGAATCAAAATACATTTTTGCGGTTGTCCTCATTCATTTCTCAACTGCTCATTTTTAGTCACAGAAACTCATCTCATTTTCCATTTGTGCCATTTCTAAAGCAAAGCAGTTTTGGTGGGTATCTTTGCCAGCCCTCTTCATATTCTCTTCTCCCTTTGTAAAATTTTCTTTAACCATAATTTGTTATGGAATGAGATTTAAAAAAAATCACTGCAATGATCCAATTAACTCATTGTCAAGACGGAAATATATTTCTGAAAGCAAATTTCTATTGCTTGGTTCTTACTAAGCACAGGCTCAGATCTCCATTGTGCCAAGGCCTCTAAATTGTACAGCTGTGTGCCAGGGAAAAGGGAGTCTTGGGAGGTCACCCCCATGGAACTTACCAAGCACTAGTCCATCTCTTGGAAACTCCCATCTTGAGTCATAAGGCAGCTGCATCGGGTCCACATAAATATATTCATGTCCATCAGGGCTGATTGATTCAATGACCCTCCAGCGAATTTCATACCTCGGTTTCTATAAATGATCAGGACAGGTAACTGGTGAGTTACCAAAATTCCAGTGCACCAGAGCTTCACTGAAACAGCACAGTGACTGGACAAAGTAGAGTCCAACAACGATCACTCCACATATAAATAGTGAGCTCCTTCTCTGTGCCAAGCACTGAACTAGGTTGCTATTCTTCTTGTTACCATTGGCTTCAAAGATCTTTAGTTTTACGAGAAAATATCTACCTGTTTCCAAATGACGACCAGAACAATGAGTGAGATGATCACAATCACCAACAGCACCAGGACCGCAGCAGCCACCGTGAGTTCAGAACGCAGGGCTAGGTGACAAGAGAGAGAGGTACAATGGAGAGTTTCCTCGAGGACACGCAGGGCGGCAGCAAGGTAGTGTAGCTGTCTGAGCCAGGAATCTCTCATGCTGATGGGGAAGTGTGAGGGCTGCCTGGTTCGTTTTAAGGATAGGCAGTACCAACTCTCAAACATCTACACCCAGGAAACTACATCAACTCTTTCCTTATACAAGAAGGGGACAAAATTCAATCAGGAAAACTCAGTATTTTTTCTCCAAAGTTGCTCCAACAGTTACCTTGTGGACAGAATTAGAATAGGAATCATATCCATCCATAAAGATGGATAAATGCAGGTTGGGCACAGTGGCTCACACCTGTAATCTCAGCACTTTGGGAGGCTGAAGTGGGTGGATCACAGGTCAGGAGTTCGAGACCAGCCTCGCCTACAGAGTGAAATCCTGTCTCTACTAAAAATGCAAAAAAAAAATTAGCTGGGTGTGGTGTTATGTACCTGTAGTCCCAGCTACTCGGAAGGCTGAGGCAGGAGAATCACTTGAACCTGGGAGGCGGAGGTTGCAGTGAGCCAAGCCCATGCCATTGCACTCCAGCCTGGGTGACAGAGTGAAACTCCGTTAAAAAAAAAAAAAAAAGAAAAAAAAGACAGATAAATGCAACTGACAGCTACTATATAGGCAGAAACTTCTACTTCATATGCTTTATTATAAAGCTTATTTTTAAGTTGAATTTTGCTTATATTGCTTTTGTCTTCATCCATCTTTTAAGGAGCAACGAAGACAGAAGATCCTTCTTCCCCACACTCCATCTACATACACAGACATTCAAAGTAGAGACTGCAAATTATTAGACAAGCAAAATTATTAGACAAATTTATTAGATAAGCAAAATTATTAGACAAGCAAAATGTTGAGGGGCCTTTGCAAGATGTGGTTTTGGATCTGAATCTAAAACAAAGTCCCAGGTAGAGGTTGCAGTAAGCCAAGATCATGCCACTGCACTCCAGCCTGGGCAACAGAGCAAGACTCTGCTCCAAAAATAAAACAAAGTCCCAGATGCCTTTAACGGCATTCATAACTGAACTTCTTCCTTGGGACCTTCATTCCTATATGACCCTATCTGAGATTCAAGGTTCCATGGGATGGTGGGGAGATGGGGCTCAGCTGATGAGTCATCCCGACTGTTGAGCAACTCACTGGGAGCTACGAGCTTCAGCTCTCGGTTCTCAGCACCAAGGAGATTCTTAGCCAGGCATCGCACCGCAATGGTCTCCTCCACTTTGGCGAAAGTCACACGGCCCTCCACGGTACTCCTGCCTCGGGGATGGACCTCCGTGATGATGTTTGAGACATTGTTGGCCAAAATCGTCCACGAAGTTTCATTATTACATCTAGAGAGAAAAAGGGCCTAAGTATAGGGCCAATTCCTGAAAGTCATGGTGATGAGTGCAGCATGGGAACCCTCTAAGATGGCAAGAGGTTAGATGGGACCTGGTCTACATTTCAGGGCTTTACATGTTGACTTATTTCACATGCAAATGAACATTAAAACTTGTTTGCACATGCTCAAGAGGGAATAACTCACACATGAACAACTGAAAGCTAACTGTTTACAGAGCAGGTAGGGATAAACAAGTTTAATAAAATATGGCGACCATTCCCCAGTCTCGAACCTATAAGCAAACTGAACAGTTCAATTTCAACCATATTTAATGGTCTCAATCTCTCACCCCTTCAAAATGGCCTGGAGCCTTCCCTTCTCACCACCCACACTGGGAAGAGCCCCTAAGGTTGTGGCAATCCTCGGATTGAGTTATAAAACCTAGATTCCTGCTCCATGCTGGAATCTTCTAGAAACTCCAGTCAACATCCTAGTCCGTCCTTAGCCCTAGGTTAAGACAAGGAGTCTCCATCTAGAGGAAGAAGCAACTGAGGCTTCTGAACATAACCAGTTACCACGGATGAAGTGTAAACACAGCACTTATGTGCCCATTTAAGAAGGCTGAGGACTCTGGGAGGGAGGAAGGACTGGCGAATTAACCCACCAAACAGCGGGTGGGCAGATGAGGGACCAAGCAGTCACATTTATGTTTACATGCAGTCCAGCCACCAAACAAAGTTCACCAAGTAAGAAATGTGAGCCAGGGTAGTAGAAATCTCCTTAGGACAGTGGTTCTTAAAATTCATCTTTTTTTTTTCAAATTGGAGACATTTTGAAGGTCTAATGAAAGCCATGGACCTTCTCTTTACAGCTATTCGTGACAAAAGATACATACCCTGAAGCTATCATACCCAAAACCCTATCTTACAGTCAATAAGTAAAATGTATTTGACATCATCCGAGTCAAGGGAGAAAGATTCTGACCACAAAAGAAGACACATCTGTTTTCCATACTTCTTAATATCCTTGCAAATCATCCACTCAATATCAGGAAGCGGTGTGCCTTCAGCCATGCACCTCACTGTCTGACCCCCAGTTGAGCCATGGTGATCATCAACCAAGTCCAGAATGGATGAAGGAACTGCAAGAGGCAGAAAGAAGTCAGAATGGAAGAGTTCGTGTCCCAGTACATGTGAGACCACAAAACGGAATATGAGTTCACAACTCATCCACGTGCCATTCAAACTACTCCAGCGGGGCTGAAACCAGTTGTACAAGTAACACTCCAGTGTAGACAGACCCACTTGGTTAGCAGCATTTTCACAGTTTTGGGGTTTTGAGATTTATGCCTGTGATGTTTTAAACCTGGAGTGAAGAAAGCAAAAAGTCCTTGGGCGTGATGGCTCACACCTGTAGCCACAGCCACTTGGGAGGCTGAGGTGGAAGAGACTCATTTGAACCTAGGAGTTTGAGGCAAGCATGGGCAACGTGGTGAGAAGAAAGAAAAAAAGGAAAGAAAAGAGAAGAGAGGAGAGGGAAAAGAAAGGAAGAAAGAAAAGGAAAGGAAAGGAAGAAAGAAAGAGAAAGAAAGAAAGAAAGAAAGCAGAGGGAAAGCGAACAAAAGGCAGGCAGGCAGGCAGGAAGGAAGGAAGAGAGGGAGGAAGGGAGGGAGCGAAGGAAGGAGGGAAGGAAAAGAAGAGAAGGAGAGAGGGGGCCGGGCGCGGTGGCTCAAGCCTGTAATCCCAGCACTTTGGGAGGCCGAGGCAGGTGGATCACGAGGTCAAGAGATCGAGACCATCCTGGTCAACATGGTGAAACCCCGTCTCTACTAAAAATACAAAAAATCAGCTGGGCATGGTGGCTCATGCCTGTAATCCCAGCTACTCAGGAGGCTGAGGCAAGAGAATTGCCTGAACCCAGGAGGCGGAGGTTGCGGTGAGCCGAGATCGCGCCATTGCACTCCAGCCTGGGTAACAAGAGCGAAACTCCGTCTCAAAAAAAAAAAAAAAAAGAAGGAGGGAGGGAAGGAAGGAAGGTAGGAAGGAAAGAAGGAAGGAAGGAAGTGAGGAGGTAGGGAGATAGGTAGGAGGGAGATAGGTGAGGAAGGAGATAGGCAGAGAGGGAGGGAAAGTCCCTGGTTACTTGGCTTGAAAGGCAAGGAGGTTCTTAACACTACATTACAGCTTAGGATTCAATTAATGGATTCAGCTAAAGTATAATCTAAAACAGCATTTACCAAAATGCATCTGTGGTATGTTATTATGTTTTGGGTTTTGTTTGTTTGTTTTTTGAGACAAAGTCTCACTCTGTCGCCCAGGCTGGAGTGCAGTGGTGCGATCTCTGCTCACTGCAACTTCCACCTCCCAGGTTCAAGTGATTCTCCTGCCTCAGCCTCCTGAGTAGCTGAAACTACAGGCATCTTTCACTATGCCCAACTAATTTTTGTATTTTTAGTAGAGATGGGGTTTCACCATGTTGGCCAAGGTGGTCTCGATCTCCTGACCTTGTGATCCACCCATCTCAGCATGCCAAAGTGCTGGGATTACAGGTGTGAGCCACTACGCCCGGCCTGTTATTAGGTTTTAAAGATTCTTTTCTCAATCTGTGGTGAAATGAATTAGAGATACGATGATACTTGTATCACAGGTTTTACTGTGAGGATCACATGAGCACACCTCAAACAGCATCTGGCAGATGGCCGGGACTCAGGATAGTTGCTGAGCCCGAATATAAAGGGACCACTGTACAATGTCTACACGGAAAATCTGTAACAAAACTCTCCAGAACAATCTAAGGTCATCTGGACCAAAAAGTAACACTTCTCTCCTCTCAGATCTGGAGATGCCATATTGAGAAGTGAGTCCTGAGCAAGTCGGTGGAGGCCAGATGTGGTGGCTCACACCAGTAATCCCAGCACTTTGAGAGGCCGAAGTGGGAGGATAGCTTGAACCCAGGAGACCAGCCTGGGCAACATGGCAAGACCCCATCTCTCCATAAAGAAAGAAAGCTAGTGGAGCCTAGGGATTCCCTTCTTATTCTGGAGTAACCCAGAACTTCCCAGAAATACCTGAATTCATGATTCCAGCACAAGTATCCCTGATATGTGACATCTACAGACACTGCTTCTCCCCCAAATGTTGCTTTTCTTCTATGACTTGGGAGAAAAGTGTCAGACTTTCCTTGGAAGACACTCATCTATACAGCTAGCATTATCTTTATGCTCCCTTTACATACCTTGAGTTAACAGTTCAAAAGTATAGCTCTTCACATCATCTTCATTTTGAACTACAATAGTATAATGGCCACTGTCTTCTTCCTTAGCACGGATCAGCTTTAATTGGCTTCGATACCTTTTAAAAGAAGGATTTTGTTTCAACAAGCAGTAGCTAAGTAAGTTCCAATCATTTAAGCAATTGTACTCTTCAATTTCAGTTTTATTTTTACTTTAAAAAGTAAAGTCGTCTTTTTTTTTTTTTTTTTTCTTGTCCATATCATCTCTTTTCTGGAATTCTCAATATACAGCGCACACACTGACGGTCTGGATCATAAACACAATTCTTACAAGAGAAAACCAGACCTTCAGAGATGAGCAATGGCCTTCTCCAAGAGCTATCAGTTCAGCCAGGGCCTGACTTCTGAATGAATAAGCACAGCTCACCAGCTTTTCTTTAAAAACAAAAAACCTTTTATGGCCGGGCGCGGTGGCTCAAGCCTGTAATCCCAGCACTTTGGGAGGCTGAGGCGGGTGGATCACAAGGTCAAGAGATCGAGACCATCTTGGTCAACATGGTGAAACCCCGTCTCTACTAAAAATACAAAAAAAAAAAAAATAGCTGGGCATGGTGGTGCGTGCCTGTAATCCCAGCTACTCAGGAGGCTGAGGCAGGAGAATTGCCTGAACCCAGGAGGCGGAGGTTGCGGTGAGCCGAGATTGCGCCATTGCACTCCAGCCTGGGTAACAAGAGCGAAACTCCGTCTCAAAAAAAAAATAAAAATAAAAATAAAAACCTTTTATTTTTACCTTAAAAAAAAAAAGATACTTGCTTCCCCTAAATCTCCATCATTTAGGTGGTTCAGCCAAACAATGGAATACCACTGGAGGATAGAATGAGGATATTTTCTACCTATTGGTATGGAGAGATCTCAGGATGTAACATTCCTACTTGCTTGTATTTTGCTTAAAGAAACTCTGGAAGGCTTCATAAGAACATGATAAAACTAATACAGGTGTATCCCTGTGGGGAGGAGGGAAGAACTGAGTAGTTGGGAACCGGGGTACAGTGAGGCTACTTACAATGCACTCTCTTTATGCTTGATTGTTTTTCAAGCATGGGATTCTATCACCTATTTAAAAAAATTATAGGCTGGGTTCAGTGACTCATGCCTGTAATCCCAGCACTTTGGGAGGTCGATGCAGGCAGATTACTTGAGGTCAGGAGTTTGAGATCAGCCTGACCAACATGGTAACACTCCCATCTCTACTAAAAATACAAAAAAAAAAAAAAAAAAAAAAAAAAAATTAGCCAGGGATGGTGGTATATCCCTGTAATCCCAGCTCCTCAGGAGGCTGAGGTTGAAGAATAGTTTGAACTCAGGAGGTGGAGGTTGCAGCAGGCCAAGATATCTCACCACTGCACTCCAGCCTGGGCAACAGAGTGAGACTCTGTCTCAAAAAAAAAAAAAAAAGAAAAAAAGAAAAAGTTAGAAAATATGCCTCTTCATACTTTATTAAAGAGAAGCTTCCCCAAAAATATTTTACTTGGACTATGAATGACATCAGGTTGTATGTGTGTGTGCATGTGTGTGTGTAAACACAGTATGTGTCCATTTGATTGTCTTTCATCAGTGTGGAAAAGCAGCTGGAACAGAGACGAAAAGCACTGGTTATGGAGTAAGAAGGTATCAGGTATTATCACAGTTCTCCATGCCTCAGTTTCCTTGTATGTAAAATGTGATAACTGTACACATAGCACAGAGTCATCGTGAGAGTTAGTGAAAGGAGATTGTATGTGTGAAAGCATTTCATCGACTCCAAAACACTTTGCAAATGCTGAGGCACTCAGACCTGTGAAGAGAGCAGGCTGGGCCATACTGGGTGTGCTGCAGGACTGGATTTCCTTAGAGAGTCCCCGAGGGCACCCTGGGATGCTGATTACCAGATTCTTCTCTGCTGTTTGTTGTCTACACTTCTTTGGCCAAGAAAACCAGTAGGTTCACTAGTTTTAAGCTCCAGGAAGCCAGATCCCTCATCTACCATGTTTATCTTTGTATTCACTGGCTTGTAATAGGAACTAAAAAATACGTGTTGAAGAATCCTTGAACCATTAAAAAGGAAAGGCATCTTTCCAGAACCATGCAGTTGGTGAGTCTATCCTGCCACTGCTATTGGTTATGGCTTGCAGACAGTGCTCACATGTGGAAATTCACTCAGGGTGGTGACCCCGACAGTGGTGCCCAACTGGGGCGATCCCAACACTCACACACGTGTTGGAGGTATTAGCCGTACCAGGGTCACCCTATTCCTCTCTGGCTTCACAGCCTCGTGGAAGTTCCTTGTGGGAAGCTGACTTCCTCGTTGGGCACGTTCATTTTGTGGCATCAGAAACCCATCCAGATTCAGCCTCCCACTTCATTTTTCCTTTACTGTTCTATAGAGGTTGTAAAATTCCATTTTCTCAGACACTGCTTCTCAATTACACGTGGAATTTAGTTCAGAAAGAAAAAAGCAAATCCTGAGGTGAACTGAACTGATGAGAAAGGCTCTGTTCTTCCTCCTGCTGAAGGCTTGAAACATAGGACTGACTTTGTCTTTCTGAGATCATTTCTGACAAAAGTATAGGGCTGATTAGCTGGGTGCTGCATCATGTACCTTCTGACTCCTGGATTCTAATCACAGCTTAAAACCTCAAGAGAACCTCAAGATATTATCTGATCCAATTCTTTGCCTTGAAGGAGATGAGGTATTGTTTATCCTACATTGCAGTTGAGGAAACTGAGGATGTGGGGTGACTCACTCAAAATTCCACCACCAGGTAAGAGCTAAGAGCAATCTACCATTCTGATTAAAAGGCAGGGATCTAAGCGACTCACTCACTGCACATCTCTCTCCTGACTAAATTTAGTCAGGCTCTACTCTTCTTTCCTGTAGAGTCCTCAGTTAGGGCAAATGCATTCCATATTAAGCCTATGATGTTTACGTTCATGTAAGGTGGTGTGATAACTGCCTTATGGGTGTAATCACCACACATGTCTACCTGCAATATGGATCATGAACATCAGGAAATATATTCAATCTATTTGATCCTAGTGAGTCCAGTTTTCCTTCCTTTCTTCTACCATAGCTAAATCCAGTGACCTGTCTTTCCCTGGGGGCCAGAGCTTTTAGTTCTTTTTCCTCATCTTCTCTTTAAATACTTACCAGCGTACTGATACCATATTGCAATGTTATCATTAAAGGGATGCGATTTTGAGCATCTCTTAACCAGATTGCTACATCTTCTAGAGTGACTTTGGGTCTGCGTTGTAAGATATACACAACATACACAAACCTCAGTCCACCTCTGATGCACACTAAAAAAAAAAAAAAAAAAAGGAATACTTGGGCAGAGTGTTTCTTTACCTTGTTTCCTGAATCTTTTCCACATCAGTGGTGATCTCGGTGAGATTTTCGATCAGAGTCAGGTTGTTTTTCAGCCAGGATATCCTGGGAGTTGGGTAGGCCTGTACCTCTACGACAAAATTTTTGACTTCATGCAGGTTGACAGCTTCCAACTGGCTGAAGTTGGGTTTGATCTCAATGAAGCCTTTCTCTGTACAGGGAAGAGTTTCCATTAAATAATGATTACCATAGATGGATCCCGAGCAGCATGGATGACTGACATTTTAGAAAGCGGAATGTACCATGGACAGAAATAGTGACTTTCTTCATTTCTTTGACCTCCCTGGTAGCCTGGCGGGCAGCACATTCGTAATCTCCACTGTCTTTCACCGTGGCCTCGGGGACCGTCAAAGTGTACACCAATTTGATGGATGGGACTTTGATTTCTTCAAGCATTGTGATGCCTTTGCCTTTCTACAGCAAAAGGGGAAGAAAACCGACTTTTAAAAAGCTCGCTCCTAGGAGTGAACTCTAAGGTAAACTATGGACTCCGGGTGATACGGTTGTGAAAATGGAGGTTCATCAGTTACAACCAATGGAAGGTGGGGATATTGACAAGGGGATAGGCTATGCCTGTTTGGGAGCAGGGGACACATGGGAAATCTCTGTAATTTTGCTGTAAACCTAAAACTGATCTAAAAGGTAAAACCTAAAGAAAAAAACTAGCTGCTTAGAAAATCATGAGATTTTTTATTTTGTTTTTGTTTTCAATTTTTTTAGAGACAGAATCTCGCTCTGCTGCCCAGGCTGGAATCCAGTGGCATAATCATGGCTAACTGCAGCCTCAACCTCCTGGGCTCAAGTGATCCTCCCACCCTTCCAGTCTCCCAAGTAGCTTGGATTACAGGCTCATGCCACCACAACTGGCTAATTTAAAAAAATTTTTTGTAGAGATGGAGTCTTGATACATTGCCCAGGCTGATCTCAAACTCCTGGCCTCAAGTGACTCTCCTGCCTCAGCCTCCCAAAGTATTGGGATTACAGGCATGAACTACCACACCCGGCCCATGTTTTAAAAGGTTAGTTAATGACACATATAAGGTGTTTGTGCTATACTGCTGAAGGATGAAGAATGTAACAAACTATTGTTTAAAGAATAACACCTATTAATTATTCAATGTTTATCTATGAATAAGAAATATTTAAAAACTTTATCTCAGTCAAGTTCATAGGCTCACATGTGTAATCCCAGCATTTTGGAAGGCCAAGGTGGGAGGATCACTTAAGCCCAGGAGTCTGAAACCAGCCTGGGCAATGTAGTGAGATCCCCATTTCTACAAAGAAAAATAAATAAATAGAAATAAAAAACAAAAGCTTTATCTCCCTAAAATATAAACAGTGGTGCTCTGGGAAGTGGCTTTTCCTTTGTCTCTCCATATTTTACAAAGTTTCTGCAATAAACCTGCATTACTTTTACAATCAGAAAAGACATATTGTATAAAATGACACTTTGACTATATATTTGTGAGCCAAATAGCATGTACTTTGATTTGGAAAAAAAGTTTCTGTCTCCCATAAACAAAATGCAGTGTATTATGTGTTAAAAATTAAAGGCAGTCAAGTATGAACAGAAGAACCAAATCACTTCCTGTTTCAGGTAAGATGCATTTGTTGGACTACAAATGTCCCTTCATGGTGTGAAGCTTGTAAACAATAGTGAAAATGTCCAACTTCCAATCAGGGCATTTTCAGGGACGAATGAAGAGCGGCGGGGGAGATAAACGAATAAAAGGAGGGAGATCAATAAATAGAAGGAGAGAAAGATGTCAAGTGCCTAAAAGGACAGGCAGCAGAAATTTACAAGTCAGGAGTGGAGGGAAGAAATATATAGATCTGATTTTTGTTCTCTGTAAGAACATCAGTCTTTCCTGCATTGGGCATTCACAGCCTCTTACACATGGCTCTCTTACACACTTAACGACAATGCATTAGAATGACTGAGACCCCTTGTGTAAATCTCTAGTGACCAACAGGCAGCATGGTGGCTCCCTTTCCCCACTTCCATCTCTCCTCCTCCCTTCTTCCCGAAATACCAGACCAGCTTCAGGTACAGTGCTTGGGATTGAGCAAACATCATTTAATCTTTGCTGATTGATTACATGATGCCTGTTGCCTGAAGGTGACCCATGAAAAAGGTCAGGCATAGAGGAGGAAGAACAGGAAGACACAGTGTCCTGGGTGCCAGCAAAGCAGAAGAGGAAGGGGTGTGGGCAATCAACCCTATTAGATGAATCAACCCTCAGGGGCACAGGAGCCAAGTCAGTGAGAAGCAATGGCTGCCTCCGAAATGGTAAAAACCAGTATTTTTTTTTTGCTATTCTAATTTTTTGGTTGATATCTTGTAGCCAGAGAACCTTCCTATTTCTATCTGACTTCTGAAAAAGAAGGCTTGGTGCACACTCTTTACGTATTCTGAAGGCCCGGGTCCAGCAATTATCATTTCAAACTCTCCCATTGATCAAGGAGCCCTAACGGCCATCTAATCAAATGTGTTCATCACAGAAGTGTGAAGATAAGATCTAGAGAAACTCTTTGATATCCCCATTAGTGACAGACCAAGCTTGAATGCAGGTCTTCTGAGCCCTGCAGCTCTGCTCCAAGCCACTGCATGTCCTGAGGGTACCTACCACTTCTCCAGGGTAAGTCCACTGAAGGTCAACCACCTCATTGTTAAAAACAGCACAGGTGACTATAATCGTTTCCCCTGACTTATACACAGTTTTAAGAGCTTCCATTTCTAGATCCAGCTTTGATGTTGCTATAAAAAAGAACAAAAGTAACGGGCTTTTAAAAATCCATAGGATAGCCAGGATCTTACAGGATAGTCAGGATCTTATAAAGTTTGAGAGTTTCTTTCTTTTTTTTTTTTTTTATAAAAACCTTGAAAATAATTTTCCAACCAGTTTGATCTACATAAAATTTGGAAAATCTCACACAGCTTGATTTTGAGATGGTGTACAACAATTAGGCATATAGTTATAATAAGGAATTACAAAACAATAACAATAAAAATAAATTCCAATCAAACAGAACACCACATTCCTCAGCAGTGGGTTAGTTATGGTTATACTCTGCTGCAATCACCTTGACTGATATATTTATTCATTTAATCCACCAACCTTTGCTGATCCACACTGCTCTAGATACTTTGTTTCTATCCAACTGTTTCTTCTCTTCTTCTCTTCCACTCTTCTCCTCAGTACTTTCCCAGAACATGGCACCGTGCCTGGCACAAAATTAGCTGTGCTCTGATTTTAAAACAGTGTACTCTTGCTGCTACCCATTCTTCCACGCAGAATAAGTGTTCAGGAAGTATCTGTTGACCTCAGCAGGTATTGCACTTCCCCAACCATACTAACTGCAGACATCAAAGGGTGTAGATGTCTACAACTACAATCTTTCTTCAAAATTGAAATTACTTTTCTTGAGTTACTAAAATTAATCTAGGCATCTAACCCCCTGGGTGTATGTTTGTTTTTAGGGCCGCCGTAGTCAGGAATGTGAATAAAAGTAAGAGGCTTATGTAAGAAAAGAATTCTTTACATTATTTTGAAGTCAACTGATGAAACCTGAAATCTTGCATGGGTAATCAAGCTTTAGCCTTTAGTAATTTTAAGCTTATTATTAATCACACAGAGGTCAGCCTGACATTGTATTAGCTGGGGTCCTAAATTCCCAAATAGGAATTTAGGATCACCAGTGATGATGATTTAAAAAAAAAAAAATCCTACATGCATCTGATGATTTTGCCTGTTATCTAAAGAAAGAAAGAGATAATACAAGTACCTTTTAAAGCATAAACATTAAAAGGGATGGTCTGGAACTTTTTTCCTTTGACGGTGGCCTCACAGATATAGGGCCCGACAGTGAAGGTCCCATTAAAGCCCTGTCTGCTGTCGTAGGAGGCAGGTACCACCCCCTCGCTGTTGTGTAAGGTTACAGGAGTCTCAGGATCAGTGGTGCGACAAGGTATGATGGCAGAATCATCGTCCTCCACAATGACTAAATAATCCGTCATTCCTAGAGGTACAAAGGCAACATCTGGGTCTGCAATTTAAAAAAGAATGAAGACTCTATTAGACATTAATTTCACCTTTACACATAAATCCAGAAAAACTATTCTACTGGCAGTACTGATATTAGGTATGAAGTTCACTTTTACACATACATCCAGAAGAATTACCCCACTGGCATTAGTTATCATGACAGCTACAAAGTGATTTTAAAGTATGAATAATATCAAATTGCCTGTATCCTAATGGATAATACTGATGATAAATATAAATACTGGACAGAAGCTGTGGCTTATGCCTGTAATCCTAGCACTTTGGGAGGCCAAGGTGGGAGAGTTGCTCGTGCTCAGGAGTTTGAGACTAGCCTGGGCAACATAGTGAGACCCTGTCTCTATAAATAAATAAATGAATAAATACTGACTAGGAATCTAAAACAAAATTTAAACAACGATAAACAAAAATGAACAATAAAATAATAGAGTCCACCTCTGTTCAAAACAGGAAAAAAATATTTCTAGTTTTACTAGGAAATGCTTTTAAAAACGCTTATCTACTATAGTCAGTAACATTGAAAAGTAGCACAGAAATCTATTTATTAAAAAGTAGGCCGGGCGCGGTGGCTCAAGCCTGTAATCCCAGCACTTTGATCCACCGAGGCGGGTGGATCATGAGGTCAAAAGATCGAGACCAACCTGGTCAACATGGTGAAACCCCGTCTCTACTAAAAAATACAAAAAATTAGCTGGACATGGTGGCGCGTGCCTGTAATCCCAGTTACTCAGGAGGCTGAGGCAGGAGAATTGCCTGAACCCAGGAGGTGGAGGTTGTGGTGAGCCGAGATTGCGCCATCGCACTCCAGCCTGGGTAACAAGAGCGAAACTCCGTCTCAAAAAAAAAAGCAATCCTCTGAGAAATACATAAAATGTATAATTCCATAGCCTGAGAATTTCCTTTCCAAAAGAAAACCAGCTACTTAAGCTACTGTAGTATGAAGTTCTAAGAGTCTCAAATAGCAGCTGTAGAAAAGGCCCCCAAATCTCCATTATTGGCAATAAAAAGATCTCGGTCAGACAGCGACGCAGGTGATACTTGATGGTGTCTGTGCTGGAGGAAGGTAGGGAAAAAGAAGAATTTTTGGACAATCTTATAGATTAAAACTTCAGAGACTGGTGTACCTTTAACGCATTCCCGTTTCTGCTGTTTTCTTCACAGCTGGGGAAAATCCCTCCACACTTAGAGGATTTTCCTGAAGGAATCTAAGTGTGAATGAAGTTGGGGTGACATTCTAAATACCTTCCCTTTTCAAAACAAAGGTTTTTTTTTTTTTTTAAATTGTTAAGAAGGAAGGTTCATATGAATAAGCGTATCGTGAAAGAACTAAAGAGGGTCTAGATCCCCGGGGGACACCTATAGTTATAGAGGGTAGGAAGGGGAGCCCTTTAAAACCTGAAAACTAAAAGACAGAAAGGTAGGAAGACATACCTCTGTGAGAACCCCCTTCCTCGACCTGTGCCAAAACAGCAAGGATGGCAAGAATTGTAAACAGTTTATGCTTTGTTCTAAAACCAAGTATTCTAGCCACAGTCCTTTTAAATTTACCCAGCTGCAGACTGAAATGGTCATCACTTGTACTCGGCCGTTTTGTCCTTTAATTAAAACATAGCAGTAGGCCAGGCCTGGTAGCTCATGCCTGTAACCTCAGAACTTTGGGAGGCTCAGGTGGGTGTGGATTGCCTTGAGCCCAGGAGTTTGAGACCAGCCTGGACAACATAGTAAAACCCTATCTCTACAAAAAATATAAAACCTCAGGTGTGATGGCTCATGCCTGTAATCCCAGCACTTTGGAAGATCAAGGCGGACAGATCGCTTGAGGTCAAGAGTTCAAGACCAGCCTGGCCAATATGCTGAAACCCCTGTCTCGACTAAAAATACAAAAAAAAAAAAAATTTTTTTAAATCTATATAAAAATTAGCCAGGTATGGTTGTGCATGCCTGTAATCCCAGCTGCTTGGAAGGCTGAAGTGGAAGGATCGTTTGAACCAGGGAAGTTGAGGCTGCAGTAAGCCGTGATCATGCCACTACATTCCAGCCTGGGCAAGAGAGTAAGACCCTTTAAATAAAAACAAAGTTTTTAAAAATGAAAAAGAAAATTTCTTCCAATTCTATGAGAATAAATATATGTTGATAGTAAATCTGAAAAACTGAGGGTTTATTTGGAAGATATTATAATGTACTATCAGCAGCTCAAAGACAGGGCCTACCTATTAATCTTTGTGTCCTCAGCACTTAGCCCAGTGCCAGACACACTGTGAGTATGTGTGCAACTTGATGGAACTGAATAGAGATGAGTATATTTCAGATAGTTTATTCAGTATCAGTACAGGACAGGTCATAACAAAGATGCCTTTCAAAACTTAATACAGCTCTGAAATGCTAACAATAAATATTTCTTGATAACATTACAAATGATTTTTATTTAATTGTGCGTGTTAGCGTACATCTTTCAAAATTCCTGCAGTAAATATTAATTATTTATATGTATTTTCAAAACCTTGGTACATTTAACAGGAGAGACAGGACAAGAAGGAGTTTGGTACTGGGGACCCATCCAACTCACCTGGCACATAGATGTAAATGTGCCTGCCTTCAAGCTCATTCTCTTCTGTCTGAGTGTGGTTGTAATAGCAAGTGTACAGCCCTGTGTGGGCTGCCGAGGCATTGCTCACTTCCAAGACCGTCACAAAAAGGCCACTGTTGTTTTCCTCATTTCTGATTTCCACACTGGAGTTCTCTTCTTCAGACATGGGGTACTGCCAGCTCACTTCACTCTCCCCAAAGCATCTCAGAGAAAAGGATGAATTCAGCTGCACAACCTTTTCATTTTCATTTGGAAGGATAGAGGGTAATGAAAGCTGGCAGAGGATTAGGCTCAGCCCTGCAAAAGGAAACACACTCTGAATAGGATGCAGCCAGAAAGGACGGTCTCATCCCGAGAACTGAGAGAAGCAACAGTAGCAGCTTAGATGAACAATGACCATTTCTACACAAAAATCCGTTGGCCTGGACGCTCATGAAAGGCCCCCCATTATAACGGCCACTGCATCTGCTGGGAACAGCAAATGTTGCAAATAGCTCCACCAAGCCCTGCTAGATTCACCCCTCCAAACACTCAAATGATCAGAGGACATCTGATTCCAATTCCACATTTCAGACTCTTATGTGTAACCATAAAATATCCCAAGTGGCACAGGCTCAAGCACATATGGGTTCTTTATGGTTCACCGTCACTGCAGAGGTTTCCCGTAGTTAAAAATGAGATGAGGAGCCGGGCACGGTGGCTCACGCCTGTAATCCCAGCACTTTGGGAGGCCAAGGTGGGTGGATCACAAGATCAGGAGTTCAAGACCAGCCTGGCCAACAGCGTGAAAATACGAAAAGAAAAAAAAAAAAAAAAAAGAGAGAGCTAGAGAGGAGGCTGGGTGCAGCAGCTCATGTCTGTAATCCCAGCACTTTGGGAAGTGGAAGTGGGAGGATCACTTGAGCTCAGGAGTTCGAGACCAGCCTGGGCAATGTAGTGAGACCTGGTCTCCACAAAAAATTAGCTGGAGGCTGACGTGTGAGGATCACTGGAGCCCAGGAGATTGAGGCTGCAGTGAACCTCTGCATTCCAGCTTAGGCAATAGAGCACAAGACCCTATCTATTAAAAAAACAAAAAAACAAAAAAACAAACAAAAAAAAAACCATGGAATGAGAAAGGAGGCAAGGATATGGACTGAACAAAACACAAAGCACATTTGTGGTCAAGAATTCCACATCTTCTATTTCTTTTTTTCTTTCTTTTTTTTTTTTTTTTTTTTTTTTTTGAGACGGAGTTTCGCTCTGGTTACCCAAGCTGGAGTGCAATGGCGCGATCTCAGCTCACCGCAACCTCTGCCTCCTGGGTTCAGGCAATTCTCCTGCCTCAGCCTCCTGAGTAGCTGGGATTACAGGCACGCGCCACCATGCCCAGCTAATTTTTTCGTATTTTTAGTAGAGACGGGGTTTCACCATGTTGACCAGGATGGTCTCGATCTCTTGACCTCGTGATCCACCCGCCTCGGCCTCCCAAAGTGCTGGGATTACAGGCATGAGCCACCGCGCCCGGCCCACATCTTCCATTTCTTACAGCCCTTGGGCATACCATCTCTCCCCCATGACTTCCAGGGCCAAAGCGGGATGATGTGGATTTTTTTTTTTTTTTTTTTTTTTTTTAGATGGAGTCTTGCTCTGCCACCCAGGCTGGAGTGCAGTGGCGCTAGATAACGTGCATTTTAATTCACAATTCGTAAGTCAAACCCAAGAGTGAACACTCTTAAGTTCATCTTTGAACCTCAGATTTCAGTCTTGCTTATTTAGACTGAAACGGCACCTATTCTTTTGAGATGGAGTAAGTGCAACACAGCAAAAGAACTGAAGGTTTGTGGCCATTCTGGATAACGTCCTGTAGTTTTCTATTTATTTTCACTCTTTTGGACTGTGTAAGGAGAGGACAGATAATAAACCCATGGAGCACAGAACTTAGAAAACAAGACACCAAGGCTGATAGAAGAGATATGACTTAACTATTAATTAATGATCTGTAATCTTCCTTGGAGCCTGATGTGAGACTCCTACCCAACTTCAATATGTGACCCCTATAATTCCTGAAGCTTGTTAAGATAGGATTTGTAAGTACATCGGGATCACCTATTACTCTGTGGCTGGGGTATACTTAACGGAGCTCTTATCTTGCTCAGTTCCACCATATCCAAATGGGTAAGACAAAGACACTAACGGGCTGAGCTAACTCCTCAGAATAGAAGAGCACTTGTTTCACGGCAAACATCTGCTGTGCGTATATATCTGGAGGAAAACTAAGGAAGTCCAAAAATACTTCAACAAATAACCCAAATAGCATCCTTTTGGTGGGAAAGAGTTTAAGATTTTTAAAGAGCCAAACATTCATCTATCAATTTGATTCCTAGAGAAGATAAAGGTGACTCTGAGACTTGGAATAAATGGAAGCATCTTTCATCAGGACAGGTATGATTTAAGACTGGTATGGTTTCTTGGGTAAAAATTTTCTATTATTTATTTCCTTTGAACATTTTTTTTTTTAATTTTTCGAAGTGAGGTCTTGCTATGTTGCCCAGGCTGGAGTGTGGTGGCTATTCACAAGCATAACCATAGTGCACTGCAGCCTTGAACTCCCAGCTTTAAGAGATCCTCCCACCTCAGCTGCTAAAGCAGCGAGGACTACAGGTATGCCACCTCTCCCAGCTGACCAGTCTTGAATTTGTCTAATCCAGCTCTATAAGAAGACTTGTCCTAGGAAAAAGAAGAGGGTAGCAAGTAAATTTAGAGATTATTATTAACAACATTTCAGTGCCAACATTATGTACTAAAACCGCCACTGGAGAGCATTCCTTTTGAGATGGAATAAGTGCAATACAGCAAAGGGAACTGAAGGTTTGTGGTCATTCTGGATAACGTCCTATAGTTTTCTGTTTCTTTTAACTCTTTTGGACTGTGTATGCAGAGTACAGGTAATAAACCCATGGAGCACAAAACTTAGAAAACAAGACACCCAAACAAGGAACTCAGAGGGGACTGGGCTCCGTACCTGTAAGAAGACAGCCTAAGACCAGGAACGCCGGATGGGAAGTCCCCATAGCTCTGGAAAACTAGAAAAGTCAAAAGTCAACAGAAGCAGAATTAGCAAATAGAAACAACCCTGGAGCCTACTTCTCTTTGTGTTTTGCACAATAGAAAATATTAACAGCATCATTTTCATCAAACATGTCCCAGATTAAAATTCAAGATTCAAGCCGGGCGCGGTGGCTCAAGCCTGTAATCCCAGCACTTTGGGAGGCCGAGACGGGTGGATCACAAGGTCAAGAGATCGAGACCATCCTGGTCAACATGGTGAAACCCCGTCTCTACTAAAAAAAAATACAAAAAATTAGCTGGGCACTGGTGGCGCGTGCGTGTAATCCCAGCTACTCAGGAGGCTGAGGCAGGAGAATTGCCTGAACCCAGGAGGCGGAGGTTGCGGTGAGCCGAGATCGCGCCATTGCACTCCAGCCTGGGTAACGAGAGCAAAACTCAGTCTCAAAAAAAAAAAAAAAAAAAAAAAAAAATTCAAGATTCAAACAGTAAGACACCTGAAAGATGAAAGAATCAATGGGGCTCCAAGATCATGGCAGGAGCTGCCTGAAGCCGCAACCTTCTGTGATTGCATGCAGTTTTCAATGGTCCTTTAAACCATTTTTATGAAGAATTCGAACAACAGAGAAATAAATACTTACGTCTATTTTCCCAACTTCCAAACTAGAGCTGATTTTCATGTTTTGATCCGTAAAGAGGTCACACTCTCTACAACTTTTAGAAAAGTTGCTTGGATTGGAGTGAATATCTTAATATTTAAGTGTCATTAATATTTCTGAAGCTTCCTAATTAACTTCTGAAACTTCCTACTTAATTAACTATTAAGTACCATTCATATTTCTGAAACTACCTAGAATTTCTGAAACTTCCAACAGTGGATGTCATTTACAGGAGGGCTTTGTGATACTGAGGCACATACCAGGCTCAGACCGAGGCACCCAGCCTGGGTACTCACAGGAACCCTCAGAGAACCGCTGGATCCTAAGCCAAGCTAAACAAGGCATGGAAAAGCAGGCACAGGCATGAATGGAGGAACGATACAGAAAGTGAAGGAAGTGGGAGAGACAAGTGTTACTAAATTTCTGTGCGGTGGGTAGAGGGGGATGCAGTAGACTCTAGGATAAAATCAGAACGAGGCTGATTATTCATTTTCATGTTAAGGTAAAAGTATCTGTAGAAACCAAGTTCAAGAACTTTCTGATTTCCTACAGCAAAATCTGGGAATGAAGAAGTAGAGAAAGAGATGGAAGCTGAGGGTCCATAAGGCACAAATAAGTCAAGAAGCGGGTAAAAAGAAAGGAGGTAAGGGAAAAGAAATTAAAGGAAACAAATAAATGAAAAGAGGGCCCCTGTTGCCCTGGGGTAAAACCACTGAAGGGTCTATTCTGGCAAACTGTAAAAAGATGATCCTTCTTCTTTATCTCTTCCCCATTCACTTTATTTTATGTCTCCACTCATTTCTCCCTTGAGGTCACGGATAGTGGTCACTGGTGAAGTCAGTGAGAAGGAACTGTCGATGAACTTGTAGGTGCTGGCGTCAGTAAGTACCCAGGTCTTGACTGAAGAAGCCACGCTCAGGGGCCTGGGAAGAACCCCCAGTTTTAAGATAACCCCTGAAAAATCACGTTAGTCTTGGCCTGGGATGCAATGGATTCCTAAGTTGCTCCTAATGTCACAGGGCGAATCCCAAAATTGGAGATCACTGTGGGAGGCCACATGGGTTCTTGGCTTCACCCAGGAAGGAACTCAAGCAAATTTATTAAGAAAGTAAAGGAATAAAACAGGGTGGCTACTCCATAGGCAGAGCAGCCATTCGAGCTGCTAAACTGAGTATACTTACTGTTATTTCTTGATTATATGCTAAACAAAGGGTAGATTATTCATGAGTTTTCCCAGAAACAGGGAGGAAATTCCCAGAACTGAAGGATCCTTCCTTTTTCCACCATATAGGGTAATTCCAGTCATCAATAATAACATTTGCAAACTATCATGGTGCTGGTGGGAGTATCTTTTAGCAGGCTAATGTATTATAATTAGCATATAATGGGCAGTGAGGAGGACCAGAGGTCACTTTCATCACCATCTTGGTTTTTGTGGGTTTGGGCTTCCTTCTTCATTGCATCCTGGGTGTGGGGTTGTTTAAAATTTATTTATGAGACAGGGTCTTGCTCTATTGCCCAGGTTGGAGTGCAGCGGCACAATCATAGCTCACTGTATTGTCCAACTCCTGGGCTCAAGCAATCCTCCCACCTGAGCTGGCCCACATGCCCAGCCTAAGAGCTGGGACTACGGGCCTGCACCAACCACACCCAGCTCATTTTTTAAAAAAATTATTTGTAGAGATGAGGTCTCCCTATGTTGCCCAGGCTGGTCTTGAACTCCTAGGCTTAAGCAATCCTCCTGCCTTGGCCTCCCAGAGTACTGAGGTTACAGGTATAAGCCACTACACCCAACCTGCATCCTGGGGTCTTTATGATCTGTATCTTGTGAAACCGCTACACCCAGCTCATTAAAAAACAAACAAATAAATAAATTATTTATAGAGGCTGGGCACAGTGGCTCACACCTGTAATCCCAGCATTTTGGGAGGCCAAGGCAGGTGGATCACCTGAGGTCAGGAGTTCTAGACCAGCCTGGCCAACAAAGTGAAACCCGTCTCCACTAAAAATACAAAAAAAAATTAACTGGGCGTGCTAGTGTGCGTGTCTATAATTCCAGCAACTTGGGAGGCTGAGACAGGAGAATCGGTTGAACCCAGGAGGTAGAGGTTGCAGTGAGCCAAGATTGTGCCACTGCACTACAGCCTGGGCAACAAAGCAAGACTCCATCTTAAAATAATAATAATAATAATAATAATAATAATTTGTAGAGATGAGGTCTCACTATGTTGCCCCGGCTGGTCTTGAACTCTTAGGCTCAACCAATCCTGCTGCCTTGGCCTCCCAAAGTACTAGGATTACAGGCATGAGCCAACACACCTGGACCAGATCCTGGGGTCTTTATGACCTGTATCTTGTGAAGCCATCCCTACCCAACTCCTAACTTATCCTGTGACTATGAATGCCTACCCTTCTGGGAATGCAGCCCAGCAGGCCTCATCCTCTTCTTACGTACCCCACATTCAAGATGAAGTCACTCTGGTTTGACTGCCTCTGATGCTAACTCATGCAATGGCGTGAGCCTAATGGGACTAGAATCTAAATTTGTTCCATCACTGACTTTGGAAGCTAAACTATGTATACACGATTACAGAATAACGGCCGGGCTGGGTGGCTCTCGCCTGTAATCCTAGCACTTTGGGAGGCCGGGGTGGGTGGATCACCTGAGGTCAAGAGTTCAAGACCAGCCTGGCCATCATGGTGAAACCCCATCTTAAAAAAAATTACAGAATAAGCTGTTTTCTTAAAAAAAAAAAAAAAGGACGGGGGAGAAATTCGATATATTCACATGTTCCTGTATTTAGCCTGACTTGGGTTTGGTTGGGTTTGTTTGGTTAGACAGGATCCAGTAGACAATAGCCTAAGTTGGTGGTGCCTGATGATGTATTGTGCTCTAAGTGGCCTACTTTTCAGGAATCAGATTTCTGCTTTATTGAATGCCACCAGGAAAATGGGAGAGGAAGCAAAGACAGAGAGAAAGGTAGCAAGCTTCTAATGGGAATGGGGGTGGGGTAGATGGAAAAAATAAGAAACCATTATTTCCTAAGCCAAAGTTTGCATATGCCTGCTGTGTTTGTGAAGAATAACCTGGTGATTACTTAGAGTTGATTTTAAGAAGTGGCAGTTGAGGCTCAGAGAGGTTTTGCAAATGACCAAAGTCACACAGCTGTTGTCAAAGCCAGGACTCTAATACAAGGCCTGTGGGATGCAAAAGTGATGCCCTCTCCACGGCACCATCTGGTCTCTCTCAAGGGAAGGTCCATGTTTTAGCTATGTCCCACCCCCGTGCACTTTCCTTCCCCACAATTTCCTAAGGCAAATTACACACCCCTCCCTGCCATTTTCCTTCTGGCTCCGCCTCATAGCAGGAGAAGCACAATTACAGTGCTGTGAACCCAAATGCAGTTCACACAATGCTGGCTGGCTGGTGGCCTCTGAGGATGCTGGCATGTGCCTGGGATGCAGAGCTTCCACACTGCTGCTGTGGGAGGCACAGCAGGCCCGAGAGCCAGGCTGACCAGGCTGATTTACCACAATTAGCAGTAACGCTTGTGTGTTTGTACATATAAATAACAGCCTCCCACTCACAATCCACTCAGCAAACTTCAAAAGAGACCTCCAGAGCCAGCTTGATGTCTTGGATTTTATCACATTTAGATCCTGTATTTCTTTGGCAGGGCTTGCCAATGGTGCATCTTTAAAGCGTTCTCGAGCTTGAAAGAAGGGCTCACTGCTTTTCCTGCACAAGTTCTGAGGAGTGTTTTGCCCTGGCCAGACCCCACCAGATTTCCTTGTGTCCATCCAGACACAGTGGACCCGCTGCCAGGGAAGACTATTTACTGACATAAAGTGGGCAATGAAAACAGGCCCTCTGAGCAGCCATCAGGAGCCAAATACTGAGAATCAACATGTGTTTGTTGCTTAAGATTCCAAACTCCCTTCTCTGATAACAGTGGTTCCCTGGGTAGAAATCTAGGCTTGTTTGTGAAGTTTCATTTCATTACTTATCTATAACTCAGACAATTTACTAATGAATAATGGCAATACTTGCCCCACAGGAAGGTTATGGAGAAAAATGGGAAAGATGGGGACTTTCCTCACCTATGAAACCCATAGTGAGACTCCCTGGGAGTGAGTCTTGCTGTTCCTACCTTTTTCTACTCTAAATGCTCATCCTTAATTAGCAACTGCTATCTTGGAGCTTATCTAAAAGTCAGATGTGCAAATATATGTAACTGAAGCTACAAATTCTGAGAAACATGTCACTATAAGAATCAGTGACAACAGGCTGGGGGTGATGGGTCACTCCTGTAATTCCAGCACTTTGGGAGGCCAAAGTGGGTAAATCACTTGAGGTC